TTCGTCACCTTAGTGCTTTTGGCATGTCGGGCGGATGTTTGGCGAGGTGCATCTTTTTTTAAAACTATTGTAATATTGAATATATTTACTAAACCATTGGATTTGCGGGTATCCTCTTGTTGGTTAACCCAATGTGATAGAAACGCAATCCCATTCGCCTAACAATAATCCCCCTAAACAACGGACCACAAATTGATAGATCCACGTTCAAACCAAGTTTTTTTTCTTCGGTTGGTCTTTATTCTTATCGCAGGCGCAGGAAGAAGGCCTAAAAGTTGCAGGTTGTCTCGCTCTGCACTAATCGTGATTGGTAGAGACAAACTTGAGCACGGCGACTTCTAGGATAGATGGGTAGAATATGGTAGAATCAGGTCCAAGCAAAATGTCAAAAATGTCATATATCGTTGGTAAGTGGACAGAGATTGAACAATCCTGCACGGTGATTGGCACGCAATTGGCAAGCGATGGGTGCCTTCTCGGAAAGTATATATTTTTAGACAACCAGAATCAGATTCTCAGATTCGGGGTTGTCTGAAAATTTTAGGGGAAAAGGAACACCTCTCAATTCCAACGGATGATCATGTATGATTTGAATTGATTTGATATGATCATCATTGTCCGTATGAAAATGACCATAACGTCGCTTTCCAAGGCTGAGATGGAGCGAGAACTGCAACATCTTCGAGAGGTTCAGAGGCCGGCCACATGGAGGAGAGATTGGTTGATTTGACACATGCTTTTTGGGTCAAAACCATGATACCCTAGGCATTCTTGAATAGCTGGTTCCTGGAATTTCATGGATGTTTATTCCTCCAAATATGGTAATAATCGGTCTTGACCCATCCCCATGGGGTAATGTGGTAAAGCCAAGGCCATAAACCATCCGAGGGTCATCAGCATTTTATAGCATCATTTTATGGCTGCGATTTCAACAATCCCCTTAAATGGGAGTTGTTTATGGGGTCAAAATGTAAGGCATGTTGGTTGATTTTAGTATGAATAATCCAAAAAAAATAGGAGATCATTGACTAAATAGGATAGTACTCATTTTTTGGAGGATCATCAACCATCATCAGATAGTGATCATCATTTACCCTCTGGTAAACTAACATAACTATGGAAAATCACCAATGGGTAAATCCACTATAAATGGCCATTTTCAATAGCTATGTTAGTTTACCAGAGGGTAACTCTGCGAAATGTTGATCCCCGTTGTAGTTTGCGACCGGTCTTTTTTGACCGCCACGAAATGGCGGAGGCGTGAGACTTTGGCCCAAAAGCAGCTTGAGGTCTTCAAGGCTTCACCAGTTTCATCATACCACGACTGTTGGTGGTTTCCATAGTATGGGATAATGGTATGAAAATGGGATAGTTATCAGAATTATGATGAAATATGCTTCTAATATGCTTCTCATATGTTCGATAGTGGATAAAGTATGATAAATTGGATAGTGATAACACATGATAAAACCCAGAGCAGACTGGTTGAAAGATGATACCAGGAACGTGAGCTCTCCCAGCAAAAAGAGCTGGAGCGCATCCAACAGAGCAAGGTGGGTTCTAGGGAACCACACTGGGATCTTTTTTTTGTCATCTTTTGGCTCCGAAGGCACCAGCTGTTTGGATCACTTTTGTGCGGTTTTTCTATGTATTTCGAATGTATTTCGAATGTATTTCCAGAAGCACCAGCTGTAAACACTCGTGGGTTGCATGCACAGCCAGTTGTCTCAGTCTCTGAGCTTCGACTGAGTTTTAAACTGTTTCAGCTGGACACAGGGACGTTTTGGTAACTTAGAGACATGATTCTATTTGGCTATGGATCAATACCTATACATACCATTTTTAGGGGGATGAACATCCATTTACCAGCTATTTTTGGGGTTCACTAGGTACCAGGGTTTTGACCCATCCCCACATGATTCTATTTCTGGATGGACCAAGCAGATGTTTTTTGTCACGAAAGGATCTCAAGATTTGGATCGATGAGGTATCTGTAGACTCGACCCATACGTTGATCATCATGTATCAGTATCCCCAAATGGCGGCCCTGCTGCCAGTGAGATATAGTGAGATCCATGACCAGTGATCTTAGGCAGAGGAGCTTTCACAAGCAGATAAAGAACGACAAGCAGTCCTGATGGAACTGCAGGACTGCCCACATCCAACCACTGAAATGCATGGAAGGTCGAGAAAACCCATGGAACGCGCACTTTAGGAAAGTCCTGAGACTTCAGGTCGTGGTCATTCATTTCAGTTGAAAGCCATGATAACCATGATATGTGCTTTGACCTTGGAGCCTCAACGGCTTTGGTTGTCTCATGTTGTCTCTCTGTCGTGCGAATCACGCTTTTCGGCGCAGGAAAAGCTCCAAGCCGTCGAGCAGAGAGAGGAGTTTTTTTTGCCTTCTGCATCCCCAAAAGCCAATAAAATGTCTATCATCATCCCTACATATCCCTACTAAAACGAGGTATACATGGGTATACTCAGTATACTCCATTTGCCACTTGCCACAATTCGCTCATTGGATAAATCATACTGTCATACATTTTGCCCCCATTTTGGATGATCCCAGTGAAATCAGCTGAAGCCCAAGTCCGGTTGAAGTCTGGCTCCTGAGGAGGAAGAACGTCAGAGAATGGAGGCTGCCCGCATCACAGAGGTGCCAAGAATTTTCATGCCCAAATGATCCAAATGCATCCAAATGCAGCTTATTGGGTTGGGTTACCATGCTGTACTCATTGTTGGATGGCACGGAATTTGATCTTCGGTCTCCTTTTTGACCAAAAAATCGCGCACAATTTTGTCCTATTACAGAGCGGATCGCCCGATGTCGTGGAGGTGGAATTGCGACAGCGGATCGAACAAGAGATGTGCCAGCCCTCAGTGACTCAGACTTCCATCAACGATGAATCTCCCTCATTATAATGGAAGACTCGTTGCATCAATGTGTGCCGATGGAAATGGCACAAACACTTGGCCACTTGGCTTCACATATAAACTTAGCGCATTCTTCTGATGTTTGGCCCAGTTGATCATATTCATATTACAGGTACATGTTAGGTGAAAAACATATTTCTTGGTTACGTGTACCTTGTTGGCAGCTACTCGTACTTCAGGAAGCGAGTACAACATCGTGAGGAGGCACTGCATGTATTTCAGTTTTGGATGCTTCCAACATCAGAGTCATTTCTAGTGCGGAAGAAGGCAATTGTGATCAATTGTGCATAATTATATTATATGATATGCTGAATTTTGCTGATTATGCTATATTATCCCTTTGAAATTACCGCACTCATTGCAGCCTGCAGCCGTCTGAATTGCCATCAGAACTCCGAAATTGAATCGGCATTTGAGCACATGTACGCACTCTTGCCTGAATGAATACGTCACAGAAGTCAGCTCCTTATACAGCAGGTTTGCAGTTAATCCTTCGCCAGTCCAAATTCCACCGAAACCAATGTATATATACAGTTCATCATTTGGGTTTGTCTGAAAATAATAGGGTGTCCTAAAACCCAATGGATTATCATCATTTTCCAAATTAAACTATATAGTCATACATTGGGCTTTAAATATCTTTAATTATCCTATTTTGGTCTATTTTGGACAAAGGTTTTTTGTTGGCTTAGCGGGCAGGATCTGAAGAAGGAGCTGGTAGGTCTGGAGGGTCTTCGGGACAGCCTGGGACCCAGGAGCTGGTTTTTTCAGAAGATGAAGCCCTTCGAAACTTGAGGTGAGAAGCAGGTGGCAATGAGGCACATGACTTGAACAGATCATTTTCCATGACTTCCCATTGGTTGAGGGAAAGATCTTTAGGAAACCACCAAATTTGGGTAAAGCTGGTGGGCACTGCCAAGGTTGGGATATGGAGAAGGCAGACATCGAGCAGAAAGCGCAGGTGGGCTACAAGCCATTCAGAATATACAAAAATCTAGGGGCTTCCAGTTTCTGTCATGATTTTGGAGAGACCCAACCACCATCAACCACCTAAAGTCTTCTGGTTGAAGAATCTGAAGAGCATCTGGGAGTGGTTGTGAGTTACTTGTGGACCTCATCAGGAGCACAAGTTGTCTCGAGAGCGGCTTCTGAAAGAGCCACTTGGTGTTCGGCTGAAACACATGCGCTGACGCTGCCTTGATCTGCGGCAAACCTGCCTGGTGACTTTCTTTTCGCGGTGAAATGCGGTGAACATCAACATCCAGAGATTCAGATGGACTTGGGCTGTCCGGATTGAGGCTTGGTATTTCGGGCATCGATGATCTCGAGGTCGCAGCCGGGCCGGGCGCGCGGCGTGCCGTTTTGTCCAGTCGCAGCCACCAGCGAGTTCGTCAGGATGCGGAGAAAGTCCCACGCTTGGTGAACATGAACCCCGACAAGTCACTGGAGGCCAAATGGGCGGATGGGATACAGAAAACATCCGAAAACGGCACACCTTTTTAAACATTTTGAGTGGTAACATGGTCATTGTTCTTCCTTTAGATTTTTGATGTTCATAAATGTACTGAGCCAGTCACTTGGAGGGATTTTTCTGAGATTTTGGAGCCATGGCCATCGTGTAGAAGCCGTCTCTCATTGCCGAACGAAGGGGTGGAATTCCCCAGGTGGATTTCTCATTCCTCTTTGTTCGGGACATTTGGAATCTGCCTTTGAGATCCTGTCAGCGTTTGGTGATAGCTTAGGGTTTTAAGGGATTCTAAAGAGGTCTTGAATCTTGTGCTCAGAATTTGCGCATCTGACTGTTGTCAGGGTTGCTTGATCTTCTACTTGCCGCTAGAAGAGACGTGCTGCACTCAGAAATGGGACTTGGAGAAGAATTGTTGCAAGAAATATGTGGTGCCCCCTGGTGACACCAGGTGCCTTTCAAAGGGGCAACGACTTCAGGCACATTAGAAGATTGATGATGCTTTCATTTGGCTCAAGTTTCTGGCACATTTGAAGATAGCACCAGTCGTTTTTTTCTTCAGGTCTTAGATACCCAACCTTAGGTAAAACTGAACCTCCTGGCAGAAAAAAATAGTTCTGCACCATAACGTCTTTTATCAACTGCGGTTCTGCGGGCCAGAGAGGGCCATGGCGTTCTGCGCTGTGCGCTTTCTAACCAGCGCATCTCAAGTAAGTCTAGAGAGCGCAAATGGAGAAAAGATGCCCATGCTGAATTTGGATCTGAAACTGCAGTTGTCGATTGCGGATCTCCTGGAAGCGTTGCTGACCCAAAGTGGCTTGGCAGATGGCATACCTCTGAAAGTTGAAGCTGACACAACTAGTGATGATGCCGCAGAGAGTGAAGCTGAAGCTGAAACCGAAGCAGCTGCTGAAACCGAAGCAGCTGCTGATTCGTTGGCCAAAAACGAGCTATGGCAGCCGTTTTTGGAGTCCGAGGACATGAATTCAATGAAGAACTTGGGTCCAGGGCTGGCAGGTACCACAATGGAGACCCCATGGATGGAGACCGCACCGTGGGAATCCTATGAGAATCCGTCAACCTGGGACTGGCTGGGGACAAGCGTGGGCGCTCTGCGGGAGATAGCAGCTCGCAGGAAGCAGATCCAGATTGGCAAGAGTCGCCCTGAATATCTCCGCTATATCTCTGAGGTGAACAAGGAAGATAGGCTGCCGACTCATCCCAGAACTCCTAGCCCGACACTTCGAATCCCCAAACGACAGTTCGACAGAAAGCTCTCGAAATGGCGTCAGCAATTGCATGAATTTGACCAGGTGTCTGCTGGTACACCTCGAGAGTCAGAACATCAAAGGGCGAAGGAAAGCAGAGATCATCCATATCCGCTGAAACTTTTCCCTTATTTAGAGCCTCAAGGATGATTGCGGTCCTGCAGTGGCAACCCCAGAGGCCCAAAGAAGGCTTGGGCGACAGAACCGGTGCGAAAGAATTCTATGCGTCCGAGCGTGTCATGAGCTCTTCTCTGTTGAAATATGTTGAAATGAAGTTTAAACATGATTGTATATGATTGTATATGAATATATTTGATTATATTTGATATTACATTTGAATTACATTTAACATGTGTTGCAATGCATGCGGTTCTGATGTTTCTTAATTTGCAAGTTGACATCATGATCAATCCAGTGGTTGTCTCAACAAACATAGGCACCCCCAAATCCAGTGGTTTATGGGTTCAACCATTACAGGTTCAAATTTGAATTCTGGGGGTATCCTTCATTCTAACACAAACATCACAAACCCATAGGGCCCATAGGCCCATGATTCATCATTCGTATCTCATCAAGACTGAAGCCCAAAGCGTTCTGCTGGAGCTTCCACGCAAACACAGCCTCAGAAGGGCAGCGCAAATCACGAAAGCTAGCGGTAGCTGGAGTTACTCTTGCTTCAGCAAGGGGGGCAGCTCTGAGTCCAACACAGTGATTTTTCACTCAACCCCCCCAAAGCTCCCCGGGCATATGAACCTTGTGCCTCAAGTGATTGTGTATGGCGGTATGGCGATATGGTCATGGTGTCATGGTCATCAATCCGTGGCTGCCATTACAAATCATTGATTATAAGCAATTCCTAAGAATTGGTAATCATTTATAATGATAACATTAATGATAACATATGATAACAAAATAACGTATTACAGTATTTCCTGTGGTTATATAACATTTATTCCCTTATTCCCATTATTTCCTATTCATTACTTACATAACATTGACCATTCAGATGGAACATACGTTGCCTCGAGGCGGATCGGTGCAGATCATCAGAAGTGTCAGGCCGCTTTGAACAAAATCCATGTGGTATCGGAAAGTCGGCCGTAAATTGTTTTGCTGATTATATCAACATTACCCTCTGGTAAACTAACATAACTATAGAAAATCACAATTTTCAATGGAAAATCCACTATAAATGGTCATTTTCAATAGCTATGTTAAATTGCCAGAGGGTATATCATATATCCATTTTATATTCCAAGTCTAAAGTCTTGGTGAATTTTCATGTTTAGTTTTTTTTCTTCCACACCCATTTTATTGAATGTTTGAAGAGTAATTAGGTGGTTTGAAATATTGTGTGTTATTTTTTGACCCAAGAGGGGAGAACTTGTACCGATGATGATGATGATGATGATGATGATGATGATGATGATGATGATGTCAATTGACACATATTATTCAGATGGGTTGACAACCACCAGCCAGATCAATGCATCATAATACCACATACAAGGTAGGGCCCTTAAGTTGGTTTACAGCCCCATCCAACTATACTACCATAAACCCTAGTTATGAAATGTTGTAAACCAAATCAGCTATCATAAACTAGACATCCCATTAAATCACCATGCTTGTTGTGTAAACATCACTGTTTACATCCCTTTACGCATTGGCGGGCCGCCTTGTAGTATCCCCCAAAGAAATTGATGGCTGAGCCGCAGGTGTTCCTCACCGGCCTCGATGTGGCAGAAGAAGTCTGTGCGCGGTCCCAGCTGCGTGATATGCAGCATATATGATAATAGGATTAATATACATGAATGTGATATATATATATACACATGCATATACATGGATGGATGGATGGATGGATGGATGGATGGTTGGTTGGTTGGTTGGTTGGATGGATGGATAGATAGATAGATAGATAGAGGATGATGTGTGTACATCTACACATGATGTGTGAATTTACATCGCATATCAGCAGCACACTCGTTACCTATGCAGTAGCTCCAGCACAGGTGTCATCCACAATGAAGGTCACGAGAAACTGGAGGCGCTGTTGGGATTCTGTTTCATGAAGAGGGTTGCCTTAAATATTGTGATTATTGGGATATGGAGATAACTTTCACTTTTTTGCAAAGTATTGTTGAACCTTGAAAGAATGATGGGGAGAAGAAGGGTATCCTTTTTTGTTTGAGAACCGAAAAAGATCCAAGACGACAAAGCCGTGTTTGGTTCCAGCTTGGTGTGGATATGATATACCTCCGGTCCTCCATTTATAGTTTATGTCCAAATGATAGTTTTGATTACTGGATTTTATGTCAGTTGGTGAAAGGTTCGACCATGCCCTGGTGGGTTGGTGAGAGTCAACGGATATCAAGTTGTCCGGGCGCTCAATGACTAACATGGCAACTGTCGAGTTGATTTGGCGGTCCCAAAATCAGGCTCTTAAGTTCCTGCTGCATCCGCTAGTCCCTATGGAAGGTTTGTCTGGACATGTGGTATCCAATTCTATCCAATTGTTTATCATGACTTATCCTCGTTTTTCCAATTTTTTGCAGCATTTATTGATATTTATTGGGTGATATTGGGTGTACCCCATTTTCAGACAATTCCATTTGGTAAGTCAGTCGCTTGGCAGTTCCCAAAGGAGATGCTTTCAGTGCCGAGCACCGAGCATAGCGAGGATGACGACGAAGGTCGATTGCTTGAAAGCGGAGATCGCTTGGCAATTGGCCAGGGGCACTCAGCCGCGGCAGGATGATGGCAAGGCTTGAGGATGATTCAGTGTGATGCTTATTGTGCATATATATATACGTATATATATATATATATATGTATATATGTATATATTATATATATTATATATATATATTATATATATATATAATATATTATATATTATATATATTATATATATATATTATATACATATATACGTATATATATATTATATATATACACGTATATATCTGTTTAGAAAGCGACAGGTTTGGGAGGCTAATGATCCTGGAAGAATGGAAACTGTATGATGGGACACATTTGCGCCATTCAATTTATCTGCGATCTGGAGCAATTGTTCTCACTTTGCCTCTACACAGATCGCAAAGCACATCGAGCCTGTCATGGTCAAAGGCAGCTGCAGTCTAGGAATGAACTAAAGTAAGGGAATACGAAGTCTATCGTAGGGTTCAAGGGCTTTTGCTGCGGGTGACATGCAGCTTTGTCCAAAATTTGGGTGCCCCAGTTTGTTGGGACTAATTATAAGCCATCAATTTCATTGTCACTCTAAAAGTATGGTCCCCACATCAGAAGCACTAAGTTCTGATCATTTTAGGTCACTAGGATTTTTCGGATGGGTTCCTCCATGTTCTTCCCCCGTTTCTGATGATCTCAGACGGTCCATCAGGCCGAGCGCACATCTTCCGCGTGGTGATTCCCGCCAGCACCTCTGCAGAGTGAGTCTGGCTGGTTCATGCTGCGAAGCGCTGCGAAGCCGCGCCCAACGAGAACGGGAATATCATGGCTGGGATATGTACAGCCAACAGCCAACAAGATGATATATATGATATGGCCTTGTCATGGCTCCAAAAATATGAGGGATTCATCGCAATTGTCAATGAATTGCTAGAGGCTACAATTATGCTAAACTTCATTGGATTTTACCCTCTGGTAATTTAACATAGCTATTGAAAATGGCCCGTTTATAGTGAGTTTTTTCCAAAAAAAACTGTGATTTTCCATAGTTATGTTAGTTTACCAGAGGGTATGCTAAACTTCATTGGATTTTAGGTATCCCGGTATCCCCCATTCTTCGAAAACCCTGAACAAAGATCGTTACAGCCAGGAATGTCGAAGAAGAAGACTTTGAGAAGGCTGGGGGCTGGGACTATGGAAGAGGTTTACAAGGGCGCAATGTCACAGCTCTAATTGTGGCCAAAGTTCACATCCGGACAATAATGGCTATATTTTTTTCTGGCCAACAAAATAAAGTAGAATTATATATTTCTAGCATATTCTATCTATATCTTCCTACATCCCGCAGTCATCCAATCTTTCAGGCAATGAAAGAGTTGCAGGCCAATCGCGAAGCCGCGGCCTTGGGAGCCTTGGAAGCCGCCTGGAAGCCTTGGAAGCCTTGGAACGGCCGAGCCGCCCAGGTGGATCCTCGCTATCGTCGCGCCGTTGATGCCGCAGTGATGATCGTGAAACATGAGCGTGGCACCAAAGAGGTGGCCGAGACAAGGGACTGGACACGAAAAACCGGAATCAAGAGATGAAGATGATGTTTGAATATGTTTGATGTGTAGCAATGTCATAAACCAGCCAGAAATGGATTGATGGTTTAAACAAGCCATTTATAATGGTAGAATTGGGGGATAGATTACTTTTGCTTTACTAAGACAAGGTCCCAGTGTTGCCAGGGCGAACATAGTTCGACCAGTCCCTGGCAGGCCAATTCTCTGCTGGAATCTGCCAAAGCAGCCTCAGAGGTTCGGAATTGATAATCCTGAGTACCCAGCCGCAACTTGGAAAGGCTACACAGCTGCGAGATTTTTGCTATGTGATCAAAGTGATCTTTTGACGCCTCCTTGAATATCTTTAGACTCTAGATGCGCTATGTCCTTGCTGATCTAGGCCTCATCAGCACTAAATACTGTTCACCTCAAGTTCGAACATGTGGTAAAGCCATGTAAAGTCAACATGTTCACCACCTATTTTTTAAAAATGAAACCGTAGTAAACCATACCATCCTAAAGAATGTGGCTTGTATTCAGACCATCCTGAAATGGGAGTTGTTTATTGGCTGAATCATCGTAGCAGGTGGTGGCTGAAGCCAATGCGATCCTCAAGAAAGTGCCGCAGGAGTAGAGCGTTGCTTTTATGCCGTGGATCTGAAAGATGCACATTAATGACAGATGACATTCATGTCGAGTCAGACATGTGGTGTAGCTTGGATGAGGACAGCCTTGTCGTGCCATTTTGGCTCAAGGCTGTCAACTTCTCCAAATCGCACCACAGGGGGGGATGTCTCAGGGAGTGGTGGTCTGGACGGGTGAGAATACTGAGGAAGAGACCTCTCTTCTGTCGGTGCTCGCCATTGTCTGGGCCATCACTTTCCTTGTGGGCTCTCTCTGTGGAGTGTGGTTTGAGAGGTCGCGGTCAAGTAAAACCCCGGCTCGGTCTGCCGCGTTTGCGTCCTGGGAACGGGTGACTGTGAGAGCCCTACGCTTTCTGGCAAAGCGCCGGAGGGTAAGTGAACCACAACCGGAACCACAACCTACGGGGAGTGAACCCAGTGCCGGCCAGACAGCGGGCCAGGCGCAGGGTGGCCACACCGTCACGGATCCTGCACGAGGGCTTCGCACTGCCGCACCATGGACCCAACGGAAGCCGAGCTGCAGGCGATAACAACGCTCCAGGAAGCCCGCCAATGGGTGGGTATTGATGGAAGACTGGAAGCCGCAGTGCAGGGGGCCTTGGGGGACCCACAAAGGGTGCGAGAGATCGCGCTTATCCCTAGACAATTATGGGATACTACAATGGCCGCACTGCAGGTGGAAGAGCCCGGCGCTGCAGATGGTGATCCTCCGGTACACCGGGATCTTTCTCCAGTCGAGGTGGCAAAGCTGGAGTCTTTGAGAAGGGTCTGCAATCTCCGAGTGGGACAACCTGCAGATGACCGTGGGACAGTGTTGCCTGTGGCTCCGGCAGCCCCGGGTCCCCTCCTACCACCCGCTGGTGGGGGGCCTGCTGGGCAAGCTGGGCCTCGGCGCATTAAGTTGTCCGCGGTCTTAGACCCGACACTAGACGCGGACATCGTGCCGCTCACAGAGGGTGAGGTCACCCGAATGTATGACGCTTACAGGTCCAAGTTCGGAGATTTTCCGACGGACGACGCAGACGTCAGTCGAGATCAATTGGCAGCAGTCCGACAAGTGGTTCAGGCAAATGCCTGCCCATACGCCGACTTCTCGGTGTGGGGTCCTTTTGGACAGCGGTTACTGCGTAAGCAGACCTACCTGGCATACCACTTGAATCCGACCACGGGAGATTGGATCCGAAAGGAACAACCGGGACCGGATTCATTCCACTCCTGGTACAAAGCCTGGAAGTGCTATCGCACCGCCCTTCTACTAACAGAGGCGTGCGAGGCGGAACGCCTGGATGCCTATTCGGAAATGATCCGTAGCTTCGTCCAACAGTATGGCGAAGAGATGTGGAGCTTCGTCAGCCGAGCCGACTCGAGGATGCGGTCCGAGCAGCTGGATAGAATCCGTCGGCGTCTACGTGCCGACCCGATGTATGGCTACCAGGAGGGCACGCCTTGGTCAGCCTGCTTTGCTGCAGCGGTGCGCGAGTCTGAGTTTTGGCAGAGAGAGCTGGCGACCCCCCTCCTGATGTTTGTGGCCCGCAACAAAAGGGAGCCAGCGTCTGAGAGCAAGCCGGACGATCGCCCGACGAATGAGGGTGGGCCAAAACGCCAGAAGGTAAGGGCAAATCGTCGCTACACCGGTGAAGACCGCTCCAAGAAGAACCAGGAGGGGCTCTACAGTTTGAACAGGAAAGGCATTGAGATATGCCACCTGTACAACCAGGGCAAGTGCGGCTCAGAGAAGGCACAGGGAAAATGCCGCAACCAGAGATCTCACCAGTGCAACAAGTGCCTCGGGCCCCATCAGGGGCTCAAGTGCGGCAAGGAGAACTGACCCGCAGACGGCGGGAGTTCGGCTGGTGGTCCGAGCTCCAAGAGGCCGCTGGAAAAGCCACCAAGAAGAGAAGAAGGTACAGAGTCAGCAGGAGCAGAACCCGCGCCGGCCAAAAGGCCCAAGACCACGGCTTACCGGGAACCATCGGTGCCAAAGGGGGGCTCAGATGGGCCGACCGCTTCGTCGGCTTCGAAGCCACCTCGACCCAAGAACCAGGTTGAGGTCAAGAGCCACATCACTGTGGAGTATGGATGCTGGTCCTGCAAAGGTGAGGACATCAATGTTGGGAAGCCGATAGCCCTGATCCTCTTCTCCGGAAGATCCCGGCCGGGAGACCTACACAACCAGCTGGTGAACCTGGGCTGGATCGTGTGCTCCGTAGACATGGCAGCACCCATCAAAACCAACCTCCTGGACGATGGGATCTGGGAAAAGATACTGGCCGACATCCGCTTGGGGATGTATGAGGCCGTCTGGGTGGCGACCCCTTGTGGCTCATTCTCACCACTGAGGGAGAATCAGCCGGGCCCCCGGCCGCTTCGCACAGTCGAGAAGATACAGGGCAAGCCCAAAGAAGAGCTCACCCAAGGCGAGCAACGCCAGCTGCGGGAAGCCAACGTGCTGGTTAGCAGGTCCGCAACAGCGGGGATCACGCAGGTGGAAGCCGATCGCATATTCGGTTTGGAAAATCCAGACCATGGGCCAGACCGGCCGTCGCTTTGGTTGATGCCCAGCATCAAGAAGCTGGAGGCCTGTGCAGGAATGAAATCGGTCCACTTCGATCAATGCCGCACTGGCTTAGAAACAACTAAGCCAACGAAGATCATACTGCACAAGGCCGAGTTGGAACAGCTGGATGGGCTAAGGTGCAATCACCCGAAGAGGACCTTCGAAAAACCGGACGGCTCCAAATACGAAGCCTCCCACCAGTCAGCAGTGCAGAGATGGGTAGTTGGCCCCGACGGCAAGCGTGAGCGAGCCTCTCGTTCCCAGGGAGAATACACCGCGGAACTTTCCGAGGCCATTGCTAAGGCGTTCCATCGCGCCTGGCAGGCCGGGGAGCTGAAGCGGGACCCCCTTCCCTGAAGCGAGGAGGAGCCCTTGGGTCCGGCGTTGAAGGAGGGCCCAATCAAAGAGAGGGAAATGGAAAACCTCCACGCATTGGGAGGCATGCGGAACCCTCACCTGAGTGCCCAGCGGTGGCCACAGTCGGGGACACCCGGTCAGATGGTCCGGCTGCTGTTCAGGAAAGCCCAGGAGCTGTGGCCAAACCTCAGGGACACCGCAAGAGCCATCCTGTCAGGAGAACGCCCCCCAGAACTGCCAGCGCAGATAGTCAGCTTGGTGAGGAGCACAACCATCACCTTGCTGGGCGGCGATAAGGAGTCTTGTCGCAGACGCACCGCAAAAGCCACTACCCCTATCAGCTCCGAAGTGATGGCGGCCTGGGGAACAGCAACGTCTGACCCCGACGCAGCGACCCTTGCGAGCTGGTTGGATCACGGAGCCCCCTTGGGTTTCAATTGCCCAATTGAGACCAGGGGGGTCTTTCCGCAGGTCGGTCCCCCGGTCGACGCCCCTGACGACTTGCAGGTCGAGACAGAGCTGAGGGAATGGCAGAATTATAAGTCGGCGGAAGAGGAGCGAGAAGACCTCGACAAGCTCATCTCCGAATATGTGGCGAAGGGTTGGTGCCGGCTCCTCCCTAGCATAGAAGCGGCCGAAATCGAGCTGGGCGAGAAGGTCACCCTGAACAAGCTCGGGGTTGTCGTGAAGTACACGGAGTCAGGCACCAAGAAGTCCAGAGTTGTCTGGGACGTTCGAAGGAGCGGGGCGAACGCAAAGTGTCACCAAGCCGAACGGATCGTACTGCCAAGGTTGACAGACCTAGCAGCCGCAGCCACGAGAGCATACCGATCAGGTAAGGAGCCCTGGCTGGTTGCATTGGACGTCAGGGATGCGTTCCTGAACATCCCCGCAGGAAAGGACAAGGCGTTCACTGTGGCAGCCAAGCCGGGGGCGGACGGACTGAATCAGGTCATCGTCTGTGACACGCTGGTGTTCGGCGCAAAGTCGTCGCCAACGATCTGGGGCCGCTTCGCGTCATTGTTGGGGCGCTCATGGGCTTCGATCGAGCCGGCAGTGCGGGCACAGATCTACGTAGATGACCCGGCAATGGTGATCGAAGGCTGCAAAGAAGAGGCCATCTCTGCCCTTACGAACATTCTGCTGTGGGCGGGTGTCCTGGGCTTCCCTCTCAAACTCAGCAAAGCCGAGGGTGGAAAGGCCATCCGATGGATTGGGGCCATCATCAAACTGCATGACGACAGCAAGGAAGTGGAGGTGACGATCCCTCTCGAAAGGAAGAAGAAACTCCTCGAAGCCGTTAGAGAGGTAGCGAGCAAGCCCATTGTGTCGAGAAAGGCATTGGCTTCGCTGGCAGGAGGACTCTCTTTCGTCGCAGGTCTAGTGCCACATCTGCGACCCTTCTTGGATTCGTTTTGGGCTGCGCTTTCGAGTCCGTCCAGGGGTGGCATCACGAATGACGGAGCCAGTGCGCATTCCGGAAGGCTGATCCACGTCCGGAGGATCGAAAAGGCGCTCCAATGGGTGGCGGCACTCCTAGGCGAAAGAGAGGTTCCGCTAGTGCGGATTTTCAAAGTGGCCCACCCGGAGGTGACGGCCGAAATCACCACGGACGCCTCTCCTTGGGGGTTAGGCGGAGTCCTGCGCCTTAACGGAAACATAGCAGGAGCGTTCGCAGAGCAACTATCTACCGAGGTCCTCAACAAGTTCAACGCAGTGAAAGGCGACCCGAAACACACAACGCTTTGGGAAGGCCTGGCGCTGCTGGTAGCTTTCAGGCTGTGGCTCCCTGGACTGGGCTTTGGTGCCGTGGTCCGGGTGAAGTCCGATAGCCTGAGCTCCTTGTTGATGCTTTCAAAAGGAAAGGCGAAATCCTTAGAGCTGAACTGCATAGCTCGGGAGATCGCGTTGGACCAGGCACTCCAGTTGTACAGGCTGACCTTCCTGGTGCACATCCCGGGAGTCACAAACCTGGAGGCAGATTTTCTTTCTAGGATGTTTTCTCCGAAACCTCCAGTTAAGCCGAGGCAACTCGAAAGAGTCAGCCTAACGCCAGTCACCATTGGCGAGGGCTTCTGGAAGGTGAAGCGGTTGACACAACTAGCTCGGAAAAATCTTGCGGCGGGAGCTGGTGGGGGATCATACCGGCGGCTTCCCCTGGGTCAGGGTTTGTCCACTCAGTCTGCCGCAGATGGGGAGGTTCAAGCGTTCCTTACAGGGGGAGGACCGTATGTCCGGCCCACTCTCCCCCCGCCGAAAAGGGCGGGTGTTTTGCACGAAGGGTTTGCCATTGCACCCGCCTTGCAACACGCTCTTGGGGAGTCGCCCGTTCCTGCTCCGGCCCTCTCGGAGCCCGGGAGGGCAGGCGAACCAAGAGGATACGGCCGAGGCTCAGCAGCCATGGCGTTGGCGGCCGTCGGTGACCCAACCGCTTGCATTGCACGGATTTGGGACGACGCTAGTGCTAGTTCCTCCAGGGGCCCGTTCCAGTCCAGGAAACAACTCTGGGAGAGCCTGGCGCGAAAGGCAGGGGCACAAGACCCCTTCTGCCTGACTCCGAATATCATATTCACGGTCATGGGTGCATTGAAAACCGCAGGGTACCGCAGTGCAGAGCAGTATTTAGACGTAGCAAAGGCGATCCATGTGTCTTTGGGACACGGCTGGACAGAACAGCTAGCTCAGGCGAGAAGGCTAGCCATAAGAAGTGCGCGCAGAGGCCTAGGTCACCCCAAACAAGCAGGAGGTCTCCCTCTCGCCAGTTTGGGGAATTGGGCCAACCAGCAGGAGCCGCTGGCAGCAGAAGGCCCAACATGGCCGGCGAGAGCAGCCTTGCTGGCATCATGGTGGCTACTTCGCGAAATCGAGGCATCGCGAGCGAGGAAAAGCCACATCTGTCAGGACGTTGCGGAGCTCAGGATCACCTGGCGCCTTCCGTCGTCCAAGACGGACCAGGCGGCACTGGGTGCATACCGTTCTCACCGGTGCTCCTGCGAGTTTGCCCCCTCGAGCATTTGCCCGTACCACCTAATGGCAGCACAGCTTGAGTCCTGGCCCCCAGGTGATGGCAAGCATTGGCTGCCAGGTTGGGTTTGGCAACTCACCACCCTAACGGTGCTAGGGCTTACACCGGCCATAGCGCCCGAGTGACGGGAGCAAGACACCTAGCATCGACCCAGGTAGAACTCTGGAGGGTCCAACTGTTTGGACGATGGGGCTCAGAAGTGTTTGTTCATTACATCCAGGAGGCGCCATTGGCACAACTGGACTCTTTGGCATTGGAAGCGTCCGCCAAGATGTCAATCCAGGAGGCCAAGCTCCAGCTACAGGACCTGCTGCGGCGCTCTTCCGAGATGCTAAATCACCCAATTTCGTCTTCCCCGTCCGACATGTTAGAGGACTGCGAAGCTGGGATGGACCCCGCTTCTCCCCAGATGCAGGTCACGGAGGAGCTAGTCCTCAACCTGAATGCCGGGGGAAAGTTGCATCGCCCACTGATCAGCAACATCGAAGATCACCCTCGCGTTTGGCGGACAAAGTGTGGCCGGCGCTTCGGAAACACCCACACTGATTATGAGTGGATCAAATCAGAAGAGGACATTCCGGCCCAAGCCCGTAAATGCTCCAAGTGTTTCCCAAGTTTAAAGCGCACCACCTCTTCCAGCAGCTCATCTTCTTCTTCTTCGTCCACCTCTGCGGATCCCGCAGGTGGGAAGAATTAGAGTCGGACGAAGTGTGTCAAGTGGCACCGAATGCTGCTCTGGCTGTGGATGGAGCTGAAAGCCCATGACCATAACAGAGCAGCGACAAACATCGTCCAACCTTACAAAAGAGCTCGCAGAATTGGAGGGTGGTGGGGAAATGCGAAGCCTACTTGTCGACAGATGACATTCATGTCGAGTCAGACATGTGGTGTAGCTTGGATGAGGACAGCCTTGTCGTGCCATTTTGGCTCAAGGCTGTCAACTTCTCCAAATCGCCCGCCCTCAACCGCCCTAAGTGGCGCGTGGCACCGAATGCTGCTCTGGCTGTGGATGGAGCTGAAAGCCCATGACCATAACAGAGCAGCGACAAACATCGTCCAACCTTACAAAAGAGCTCGCAGAATTGGAGGGTGGTGGGGAAATGCGAAGCCTACTTGTCATGAGAATTTCAGTGGCCGTCCCAGAAATCGGTAGCTACATCGTATGTATTAAATTTTAAACAAAATAAATACATACATAAATAAAAATGCATACATAAATAATTAAATACATAAATCAATACATATTGATGTAAATAAACTCTTGGAGAGGGCGATGGAGAGAGATATTAATTAATAAGTAATAACAACAAACACAAAACACATATCATATATGTACCTAAATGATCCTAAATGTGCATATGGTATGGGTATTTTCACTTTTACTATACGGACAAGACATATAAATGTCGAACATGGTTTTCTTTTCTTATGCGCAAATGACAATGAAGAAATACAGAGCGAGAGAGAGAGGGACATGAAGATATAGTTCACCGCAAAAGCTACCTTCACAATGGTAAATACATAGTCAGATTATGTGGCACTATGTCGGGCAATAGGGAGTTGGATAGATAATTAGGTAGACACACAGATAATGAGGTGCCACACCTTTCCCGTGGTGGGAATCAGTGCTTCCATGAGGTTGGAACACCCGCGGTTTCTTGACATTGCAACGCTGGATGTGAGTGGCCGTACGGCCCTTCACATTGCTGCACAAAATGGCCATGCAGATGTTTGCAAAGTCGGAGGCTCGGGTGGGGAGTTTTGCATAGCGATGGACATTTCCCTGGCTGTGGCCTATTTCATGCCAAGTGGTTTTGGGATGAAACTCTCCAGCTCGAAGGTTTGATGCTCGTGCAGCCCTTTCGGTTTTCAAGATCTGTCAACATTGTGAAGTCGCAATCAGCTTTGCATTCGTCCCAGAATTGATGAAAGGAACATCAAGAGGACCCCCCCCCTAATGATTTTGGATGGTGATTAAGAACATTCAAACATGCATGTTTTGGGCTAAAACTTCCCTAGATCAATCCAACTTTAAGAACGCCTGAGCCCTGCATGGCATCATTGCCCGCCTGTGCTATTGTATGCGGCAAACCAGGCAGGAACTGGAATGCAAATCAATACAATATAGATCATATTATATAGATCAAACATTGAAACGGCACGCTGTCACTTCCAATGGCATGATTTGCATGTTTTCGTTCCACTTTGGACTTGTGAGCGTCTCCGAGTAGGTTGTTTTAGTCTCTGGTAGTTGGCTTACCCGGAGGTATAGCCCCACATTCCAGCGGGTCTTAAAATTCTTAAATCGTTTTCCTATGGGGAAAAGGATATTTTTAGGATGACTCTACCAGCCAGTGCACTGGCAGGTGGACGATTTGGAGCCGAGCCCAGGGCTTAGCCTCAGAAATGTCACGAGTTTTCAGTCCTCCAACATATTAATTATTAAACACAAGTAGACATTGCCAGCCTTTGCATGATTTTCTGGCTCTAGAGACTCTTTTGTTGGCTTCAACCATCATGAAGCTATGTCCAATCAAGCCAGACAGCATCCATGACTAGACATCACCACACTGACCCATATCAATTGCACTTGCGATTTTGACGGCCCAAAGGGTTCATTATGGTTCATTGAGATGAAGCCAGTTTGCTTAATCATCGGCGCCGGTGCCGGCATTGGTGGCTGTGTTGCCAAACGCTTCGCAGGCGGTGGCTATCACGTGGTATTGTCCAGGAGATCGGATCAGAATGGCCTGGATCGATTGATCAAGGAGATCCAACAGCAAGGTGGTTCCGCCACTGGACGTTTGGCCAATGCAGTGGAAGCCGGTGTCATTGAGAACTTGGTGACCGAAGCAGCTGAAATTGGACAGATCGAGGTGCTTATTTTCAACTTGGGGGCTCAAATTGGAACAAGAACCTTAGCTCAAACATCTCTGAAACAATTTGAGCTGGGCTGGCGGATGGCATGCCTGGCACTCTTTCGTGCAGCGCAAGCAGCAATGCCAAGCATGGTCAAGAATGGAAAAGGCTGTTTTCTTGTCACGTCCTCCACAGCTGCCGTGCGCGGGAATGAGGGACAGCATGCCCATGCAGCAGCGATGGGTGGCAGGCGCATGTTGTGCCAGACGTTGAATGCAGAGTTTGGGCCCAAGGGCATTCACGTGGCCCACATTGTGGTGGACGGAGCTGTAGATGCCCCTGATACACTTGGCAAGCTGATTGGGCCAAAGAACTTTGCCCAGTTGCGTGACACCGTCGGATCCAGAGATGGCTTGCTGGATCCCAATCAGATTGCCGAAAGCTACTGGCACTTGGCCCATCAACATCGGTCTGCCTGGACACATGAGATGGATCTGCGGCCATGGTCAGAGCTGCCATGGTGGAATGATAAGCCACTGCCCACCGCAAAGATTTAAATGGATTGCAGTGATTGCAGTGGAGAAAAGCGGCCGTAAGAAATGCACTAGATCCTCTGTCCCCCAGAGCATTGTTCCATTTACTAGGGATTGAAAGCTGGCCAATCAGTCAGCGACGTTGAAGTACTAGATGGGTGTTGTTGAATATCGCCTGCGGGCAATCATGTTGGAGAACATGCCAAGTCATCCTATGCCAAATGTGTCGCATAAGTCTTCATTAGGAAACCAGAAGAACATATGAATGATGCAATGACCCATCAAACATCATCAAGATACCGAAGGTTTCCCAGGTGTATCCAGGTGTGGGGAGAGATCCATTGGTTCCAGCTTGGTCCTGTGTCTTCAAGCTCAGGTCGCAGCCCCTCGGTGCCTGAGGTGACCTGTGAGAGTTTCACTCCTATTTTCGCACTGGCATCCGAGAGACTTCAAAAAGTTGATCCTTGTTTGATCAGTTTGATCATTGTTTGATCTGCACCCCTCCATTGTGAGTTTGGGAGAAGAAACCATCAGAAGAAAAGTAACCAAGAGGCTCCACTCCTTTCGCCTTATGCCTGGGTTTGCCGCTGCCCCCAGTTGCAAAACACACCGTCAATCTTTGACATCGAGGATCAAATCGAACCAAGTTGTTACCTGGCCCAAACTCAGTCTGCAGGGGGGACAAGGCCTTCCTATCAGATATGGCAAATTCACGAACTTAATGCATTGTTCAAGGGGGTCTTCAACTGAACTCCAGATTGGGTTCTTTAGTGCGACAAGCAGTGCAGCAAACTTCAGTTGACCTGAATATGAAACTTCTTGGGGTACCATTGCCACCCGCAGCCATGGCACCCAATCCTGCAAGTTTGGATGACGACTATTCCTACCATCAAACCAAGTCCGTCGAAGCCAGATCTGAGGCAAAAACTGAGGCGGGATTGCAGGATCCAGTTGGAGGACCTCATGATCCTTGATGGGAAGTTTTTTTGATCTTTTTGGATCATGGTCTTTATCACCCCTCGACCCCCTCGACCTGATCATGGTGGGATGACAGGTAGGATACCGTAGGATGGGTGACTCGGACTCGGACTGGAGGCATGAGACCCAGCGCTTGGCGGCCCTGTCAAAAAGGGGCTTGTGGATAGAGGCCTTGCAGATCTTACCAGATTTGCTGCTTGGCTGTTGACTGATGTTGACTGATGTTGACTGATGATGACTGATGTTGAATGGTATAAACGATGTTGAAGGGTGTTGCAATGTGTTGCATGCTTTCAAAGATCCTTTCGTGCCTACTTCTGCACACTACCGGCAGGCAAATTCAAGCCAAGTCGCATCAGGTATCAGAGGTCTTGTCGCTTGAATTTGAGATAGTTGGAACATTTTGAAACAAAACATGTAGCTGGATTCTGAACCCACCAGCCACGAGATTGCACGAAACTTGTGTTTTTCATGGCTCGTTTGTTCTGCCACCTGAGGCTATCAGCCGGCTTGAAGCTGGATTTGATCTTCCGCCATCCAGTCTTTGCTTGAGATATCTTGAGCTTTGTGTTAGTTTTGCGTTTGTTTTATTTATAGTTATTTAAGGTTTTTTTTGTTCATCTTTGGTTTCATGGTTCAGGATGCCATTCTGGCTTCTTGCACAAAGTCCCCGATGGAAGCAACATGCCCTCACAGCACTTCCTCTTCCTTCGGTAGAAGGGGAAACGATGAAACAAATGAGGACTGTTGGTTTTGTTGAGATATGTCACTGGAAGGGAAGAACACGATAACAAGCAGTTCACTGCATAACATGAACTATATAAATTATATATATATTATTATTATATTATGTATAATCACAGAGACATCAACGAGCAACACATCTGCAAACCACAGCAAATCAAATTGCATTCCAACATCACGATTAATTATCATGGGAAGCAAAAGACAGCTACTGTACCGAAGGAACGGTGCTGATTTGTACCGATTCTCGACATGTTCCTGCACCCGCACAAACACAATCATCTATGTACACTGACATATTCAAAATGTGACCCTTACAATCATCAAAAAGGCTTCAATCAAGTGGGATAATACCATTTTAATCAATCCATTTCAGATTTCAAAATCGGACACTTAGCTATGCAACACTTCAAACACCATTGATAAATGAATGGTAACCTTTTACATCTTCCAAACATTTTATTTGTTTAACAAATCAAGCCAGTAGCCACGATCCCATTGGGTTTTATTCGGCGACCACATCGCCCCGAGGCAACGCTCACCTCAACAGCCTCACGCGTGCCACGCGTGTCACGGCACTGTGGCCTCGGGCCTTGCAGCTGGTGGATGGCATCCAAGGGGCGGCCTTGGAGCCGAGTTTGCCCACGAAGAATGTGCCCCTCAGGGCCGAAGGACCGAAGGGGATGGATGGTGATGGATGATCCATGATCCATGATCCATGGGTGATGCATTTTTTATCATTTTTTGTTCCCGATGGACTTGTTTTTTTGGTTGTAACTGAGTTGTAACGACTTTTTCGACGTGTTATTTCTTCGACTTCACCGCTTCGCATTACCTTTGTATCCTTTGTGATATGCATGTATTCCCCTCAGCTGGAAGCAGCTGAGATTCGCTGAGATTGGCTAAGGTGCTGATTGGCACCTTGGGATCTCAACGTCAGCTGCCCATGGCCTTGAAACTGTTGAAGGAGCTGCCAAAGCGCAGCTATCGTTGTGATGCCTTCAGCTACTCTCAGGCAGTGAAGGCCTGCGAAGGTTTGGCGGAAGCCTGGCAGGAACCCCTGGAAATTCTGGAGATGATGAAGTCATCTGCAGTGACTTTGGGTGAGGTGACCGTGGGGGCACTTCTGAGCACCCAAAGTAGCAGCAACAAGGCGGGTCTCAGCAATTCTTGGGGAAGATCCGCTTTGTACATGGCTTCCATGGCACAAGTTGCCATAGAAGCAAATGTCATCATGTTCAACTCCTTGATGGGAAGTTTTGGCCAAGACCAATGGATGGAATCCGTGCATGCGATGGACGACATGGCCTCCAAGTTTTTGAGGCCCAATGCTTTTCTATATAGTACTTTGCTGAGTTGCTGTGTGCAAGCCGCAAAGTGGACGAATGCGCTAAGCCTTTGGCTGGATGTTGCTTCTCGTTCCAGAGATGCCTGGGGTTGCCGAAAAATGGGCATACCGGCATACCACCCAAATGCATAATGATTATATACATGTACAATATGCATCATTTTCAACCAAATCCACATCTGTTTTTCTAGGCGCAGCTTTTGTGGGGAAATGGATAGCTTTCTGATGCTTTTTCTTTGTGACTGTCCAGCTGTTTGCCCCAGCCTGCCAAGGTTGTTGACGAGAGGAGACAGAAAGATGAGCAAGCGAAGCTGAAGCTGAAGCCAGATGTCATCATGTACAACAGCGACTTGGTGACTATCACTATCACATACTATCACCTTCTTCAATGTGTCTGACACTTTTTCCATTTTTTCCCGAGAGCGCCTGCGAAGGGTTCTTCGTAAAAAAGCAGCCGTTATACTACATCTTCACACCTTCACATCTGCTGATCTACATCTTCACACCTTCACACCTGCAGATCTAGATCTTCACAACTTCACACCTGCAGACCTAGATCTTCACACCTTCACACCTGCAGATCTAGATCTTCACACCTTCACACCTGCAGATCTAGATCTTCACACCCTCACATCTGGACATCTAGATCTTCATACCTTCACACCTGCAGATCTAGATCTTCACCCTCACACCTGCAGATCTAGATCTTCACACCCTCACATCTGCAGATCTAGATCTTCACACCTTCACATCTGCAGATCTAGATCTTCACACCCTCACACCTGCAGATCTAGATCTTCACACCCTCACACCTGCAGATCTAGATCTTCACACCCTCACATCTGCAGATCTACATCATCACATCCTCACATCTGCAGATCTACATCTTCACACCCTCACATCTGCAGATCTACATCATCACACCCGCACACCTGCAGATCTAGATCTTCACACCCTCACACCTGCAGATCTAGATCTTCACACCTTCACATCTGCAGATCTCTTCTCGCTCTTCTTCTATTCTCTCTTAAGGCGGGGGCGGTGCCGCCGGAGCGCCACGAAACGCAACCCTTTCGCACGAAATGGACGTCCAAAACCTAGGTAAAATTGCGATTTTGAAGCGTCGCCGGCAACCCTTTCGCACGAAATGGACGTTGGACGCCAAAAACTGAGGAAAAATTGCAACTTTGAGGTGTCGCGCGCAACCCTTTCGCACGAAATGGACGTTGGACGTCAAAAACTGAGGAAAAATTGCAACTTTGAGGTGTCGCGCGCAACCCTTTCGCACGAAATGGACGTTGGACGTCAAAAACTGAGGAAAAATTGCAACTTTGAGGTGTCGCGCGCAACCCTTTCGCACGAAATGGACGTTGGACGTCAAAAACTGATGAAAAATTGCGACTTTACTTTGTCAATCGCAACCCTTACGCACGAAATGGACGTTGGACGTCAAAAACTGAGGAAAAATTGCGACTTTACTTTGTCAATCGCAACCCTTACGCACGAAATGGACGTTGGACGTCAAAAACTGAGGAAAAATTGCGACTTTACTTTGTTATTCGCAGCCCTTATGCACGAAATGGACGTTGGACGTTAAAAACTGAGGTAAAATTGCCATGGACGCTTTCGTTTGTGTAAAAGTGCCTGTGTGTAAAAGCGTCTGTGTGTAAAAGCGTCTGTGTGTAAAAGCGTTTGTGTGTGTGAAAGTGTGTGTGCGTGTGTAAAAAGCGTCTGCGTGTAAAAGCGTCTGTGTGTAAAAGCGTCTGTGTGTAAAAGCGTCTGTGTGTAAAAGCGTTTGTGTGTGAAAGCGTGTGTGCGTGTGTCAAACTCATGAGTGGCATTCTCAGTTTGGAACGCAGCGAACAAATCCTTTGCAGTGGATTGTGCAACTCTGCAGCGACAAGCATAGTTTACCTCTTTACCTCTTTCCTTGGCTCAGATGTGAACGTAGAGACAAGATGCATTGTGTACAGAGTGAACATCCATATTCTTATATGTACGCTGAATGTTCGTGAAACAAGTGATGATTGGCAAACAGTTTTAATTGCTTTGACGTCGGCGGGATTATAGCTGCTGACATGGAACCCGGCGCCTTGCGTCGTCGTCTGGATGACATCTATCTCCATCGAAGAGAACTGTCAGCTGTCCATGAACACGCGTCGCCGAACTTGGCGGAGACACAGCCCATGTCGGTAGAGATTTGTTTTCGTTTGAGCATCTGGCCTCTCCAGCAGCTGAGTGCCCTTCCGGAGTTTCATTTTCTAGTCGACATGGACCCACGGGATGCCAGTATCGATCTCTTATACCAAGAGCATTTACTGCAGTGGATGACTGTGGTGGATTTACTGGGCGACTTGGTTGGTCGCATAGAAACGCATCATGGAGGACGTTGTGACAAAAGATACATTTGCATCGCAGCGGAAGGTCATCGCCGATTCGCGGCTCGTGAGAGTTTGACTATTCTTCGTGAGCTTGCGGATGAGAATTCTGTGGTCTCTCTTGTTGCTCGCCCTTCCAGAGTTGGTAAACAAATGCTGGCTCAATTCTGGCTTCCCAAGCTTGACGCAAAGTTGGCAGCTCCAGCGTTGGCCCGACTGGACTTGCATTGTTTCCAGGTGATTTTGGCTTGGATCTCACTTTGCGGGTGGTACAACCTATGCAGAGTGAATAGACAGTGGAGCCGCTGGCTTCGTGCAAACCCGACCTTTCGATCTGTGGTGTCGGATGCGCGTTGGGCCAAGGATCCCGAGTTGCTGTCCATCCAACGGGAGGTGCGAGCCAACGAGGAGTGATCTGTTAAACGCGGAATTTTTGACGGGCTCGATGCTACAGGGACTGTCCGTGCATCGAGCGAAATGCAATGAAAAGGATGTCTTCCGTGCCATCATGATAAGCATTCGTTTGCGCGCTTTTGTTATCCTTTGTTTACAGTTTCACCGTACAGAAAAAGTCGTGCAACTAAGGAAGGTCATCCACTGCATCGCGGTACCGAGCTTATTTGGTGAATTCTATGAGATTTTCGATATGAAAACTCGTGAACATGTGAGATCATCGGCATTATGGTAAGGAGCATGTTTTTTCCGTATATGCTCGTACAGCAGTTTCTGTTACGCATGCCATGGAGGAGGGCTGGAAACAGCAGTGGTTCTACAGCATCATGGCATCGAGTTTCGGCTTGCAACTCAGTGTCCGACTTGGAAGTAAGTACTCAGCTGGATCTTAGCGCACCTCTGGTTGAAGGCATCGTTGCATGCTGTAACCGTAGATTAAAACAATGATCTGTAGTTGTGTTTGCATTGTTGTCGTTCGCGTGGCTTGCGGATGAATGACCTGTAGTTGTGCATTGCGGATCTGTTAAATCGCTTGCGTCGTGTTCAAGGTAGGAAACGTTTGTTCGATCACAGTGGCAGCCATGACCACTAGCGCTCGTGAGTGGAGAGCGGCGCGCGAAGAAGATATCAGGAAGGCTTACGCCGACAAAGAATGTTGGACTGACCTTGACCGCATTACCTGTTGGCACCCTTACAGTTTCGGGTCCATAGAGGAGTGGCCATTGGACGCTGCCGTGATCTGCAAACCTACGGATCGAGCGTCGGTGCTGCTTGGCAGCATCAAAGGGGCCTGCAGCTTGGAAGACATTTGCCAGGCTCTGTCGGTGAAGGTCACCGTGGTGGTGACCATGTGCGCAAATGAAATGGAGATTCGAGGCGCCCCAAAGGATTGGGCGCAGTATTTCCAGCAAGAAAATGTCTATCACGTCAAGTGTCATTTGGAAGACACGACATTGAAGCCGCCGCACCGTTGGGAGGAAAGAATCCCTGACTTGGTAGCTTCTTGTTTGGAACAGTGAAAAATTGTTTGTGGCCAACTCTGGAAACAGTCCATGCTGGCAGTGACCAGGGGCGAATCCATGCACGTGCTCTTTCATTGCTTTGGAGGCATCAATCGAAGCGCTGGGGCTTTATGTGCTTGGCTCGTCGTGGGTTACAACTACCCTGCAGAGGATGCCGTCCAGTTGCTGCTTAAGAAAAGACCTTCCTTGCGCCCTTGGCACAATCGCCCCTATGTCTTGGAGGCTTTGTGGCAGCTGGAAGGTTTGCGGGCCGAGTGGCACATGGAACTGAGCGCGGCGTGCACAAATTGATTTGCACCACTGTTCGCCTGGAGAAACTGTTCGTGGCGAACGTGGTAGATCAGTAGCCAACTGTTGTTTGTCTGTAAAAATTGTTCGATCCTGTAGGGACATCGAAGAAATGGAGTGCAACAGGTGTTATCTATGCCATCATGCTATCGAACTTGTTTTTGTGGAATCATTCACTGCGTACACAAACGAATTTGCACCACTGTTCGCCTGAGGAAACTGTTCGTGGCGAACGTGTTACATGAGTAGCCAAGTGTTGCTTCTCTGTAAATATTGTTCGATCCTGTAGGGACATCGGAGAAATGCAGTGAAACAGGGTGTCGTCCAGGCCATCATGATATCGAACTTGTTTTGGGCCCGGAATCATTCACTGCGTTCACTTGTTGTTTTTTGGATACCAATTTTTAAACATTTCCAATCCAAAGCTGTGTTTGCGCACCTTTGTTTGGAAGTGAGGTCATACACGGCATCATGGTACCGGGCTTATTTGCTATGTCAAACTCCGGAGTCGTGTTTTCAGTTTCGAATTGAAAGAGCAGATGCTTCGCATTGGATTGTGTGTTATACATTTTTTTGCCTCAGATGTAAACGCATGGACCAGATGCTACATCTGCAGCATCATGGTACCGACCTTTGCTTGGAAGCAGCTTGTGGGAGCTGGAAGGCTTGCATACCGGGTGGCACTGAGTGCAACTGGCGCAAATTAATCTGTAGCACTGTTCGTCTGGAGAGACTGTTCGTGACGAACATGCAAAACCAGTATGTTCGTCTGGAGAGACTGTTCGTGACGAACATGCAAAACCAGTAGCCAACTGTTGTTTGTCTGTAAAGTTTTTTTTTTCCATCCTGTAGGGACATCGGAGAAATGCAGTGAAACAGGTGTTATCATTGCCATCATGATATCGAACTTGCTATCATTCACAGCATTCTTGCACGGAGTTCTAGTTTCTTACGGAGCCTTTGTTTGTGTACTTTTGCATTTTGTAGCATTTCCATTGCGACTATGTTTGCCCACCTTTGTTTGCAACTAAGGTCATCCACGGCATCATGGTGCCGAGCTTCTTTTGTATCTCAAAGGTCTTTGTGTGGAAATGCGTCTGACCTCTCTCTCTCTCTCTCTTTATCTCTTCCCCCTCTTTCTCTCTGTGGTTCCACGACACATGTCATCTGATGCCCTTTACCCAATATTCTCTTCTTGATCAATTTTACTTTTTTACATCATGTCTTTCCATAGCTCATTTAAAATTCACCAATAAAATTCACCAACTATTCACCGACTATCTTTTACGACTACCATACTCAGAGCTGCTTGAAACACATCTTTTTCGCTCTCGGGCCAACCGTCGTCTAGTGGGGATATTTTTGGTGCGTTGGCAGTTGATGGTTCCTTGGGACCATTGGGACATATTGGGACCATTGGGACCATTGGGACCATTTTTAATCCCAGTGCTGTCACTGCCAGGCATTATCGCTGCCTGCCAGCATTGCTCTGATGCTGCCTGGGCGCTGGATTTGTTTCGGGAGATGGTCTGCAGGATGCTAAAGCCCAATACATCCTCGTACAATGCCCTGCTGGCAGCCTGCGAGTCTGCTACAATGTGGGAAGAATGTTTGTGTCTGCTACTGCAGATGGAACAACAGAAGCTTGGTGATGCCAGATTTTCACAGATGTTCACAGATAATAATAGAGTCTTGCTCCTGTGAAAAATTATCCCGGCAAGAGACCCCAAACAGTGTGAGGGGGGAGTAAAAAGGTAATGTATTATAATGTTGACGATGATGATGATGATGATGATGACGACGACGACGACGAGGAGGAGGAGGAGGACGTGGAGGAGGAGGAGGAGGAGGAGGATGGAGGAGGAGGAGGAGGAGGAGGGAGGAGGAGGGAGGAGGAGGAGGAGGAGGATGGAGGATGGAGGAGGAGGAGGATGGAGGATGGAGGAGGAGGAGGATGATGGAGGAGGAGGATGATGGAGGAGGAGGAGGATGATGGAGGAGGAGGAGGATGATGGAGGAGGAGGAGGATGATGGAGGAGGAGGAGGATGATGGAGGAGGAGGAGGATGATGGAGGAGGAGGAGGATGATGGAGGAGGAGGAGGATGATGGAGGAGGAGGAGGATGATGGAGGAGGAGGATGATGGAGGAGGAGGAGGATGATGGAGGAGGAGGAGGATGATAGAGGAGGAGGAGGATGATAGAGGAGGAGGAGGAGGATAGAGGAGGAGGAGGATGATATAGGAGGAGGAGGATGATGTAGGAGGAGGAGGAGGAGGATGATGATGATGATGATGATGCGGCCAGCATTTTGTGCGAGCCTGCGCAGTCGCAATGCACATGGACATGTCACAAGAGGCATTTTGTGCGGAAATTCAGCGGGAAAAATGCCGTACGTGTATCCCACGACCAGTGTTTTGTGCGAGCCTGCGCAAGCGAAATGCGCATGGACATGTCACAAGAGGCATTTTGTGCGGAATTTTACAGGGAAAATGCCGGACGCTAATCCCGCGGCCAGCATTTTGTGCGAGCTGCGCAGTCGAAACGCACATGGACATGTCACAAAAGGCATTTTGCGCGGAAATTCAGAGGGAAAATGCTGGACGCTTCCGATACCACCTCGATTGAACACCGGCCCTTAACTGTTACCGTAAGAACCCCTCAGTGTGGCCACACTGTTTGGGGAACATCTTCGAATACCCATGAATGTCCAAACATCTGGTATTCCCGCTCTGTAAAGGCACCACGCACGGTATATAGTATTAATATTGTATTAATATATATATTGATCATAGATGCTCCGTAGTAAGCCTTCTTAAAAATGGACCCCCTTCGCTTCTTCTGCCAGGAAGCAGCTGCCCGATACCATCAGCTACACCAGCTGTATCCGCGCAGCAGCTCGGGCCAAGCAGCCAGAAATGGTGCGAGAACTCCTGCGACAGATGCAGCAGGGCCAGGTGCAGCTAGATACTTGGCACCTGCTGGGCATCTGCTGGGTCAACTGGGAGATACGCTGGTAGTACTGTAAGTTGTGATAACATGGTGGATGATTACATATACAAACATAGAACAACTATGAATGGACATGAACAACATATAACACAATAATGTAACAATTAGTGACCTTTGTTTCATTTGCTTCCATTCGAACATTGCCTATCATACTTGGGACAGCGATCCCTGTTGACATGTTCTTTTTGGGGATGGGTTGAAACAACCAAAACCGTTTATCGCTTTTCACGAAAGCTAGCCTGCTAGCTGGAGTTGGATTTGCTTTAGCAATGAATTGGGGGCAGACTGGATACAGCCTCAATGATTATCATGTCGAACTGGTTTTGGGGCCCCGGAGTTCGGAATGATTAATCATGTCGAATCATTACCCCACCCCCTTTCGCGGGCTCAAACCCCGCTGTGTCCATCCCACTTGGTTTCATCTGCGCCCGGCGTTCGCATGCACACGCACACAGATATATAAGATGATATTCACTGTGAGTGTTGTGAATGTAATGTAGTGCAATGCAATGTAATGTGGACAAACACAGCAGTCGAATACATGCTATGCATCCAGAAACATTGGGCAATACCTTCACGCTGCAAGAAGATGAACGCCATAATTTAGTTTAATCTACATATATCTACATACTCTACGCTATATAGTGTAATCCTCCATCTATTTATTTATATAATCTAATCTAATCCAATCTAATCTAATCTAATCTAATCCAATCTAATCTAGCCTAACCTAATGTAATGTAATGTAATGAGAGAACAACCATGAACAACCACTTGGATTCTTGCACCCCTTTTCCTCAAGATGTTTGCATCCAAACATGACCCAGTCTTGACGAGGAATGCAAGATGCGCATCTTAAGACTCCCAAGCATTTCTTGCTCGATGGATGTATGTACCTAAGTGATCAGATTCAAAGCCTGGGTTATTTGTTTAGTGGAGAACGGATTTGGCGCGGCCTTTTTCCATATAAAAATATATAAAAGGTCGCGCCACATATTCTCTCAATACACATCTCTCCTGTCCCAATGGTTTTCGTCCCCTTTCCTTTGGCCTCAAGTTTTTTACAGATTAACATGCGTGCAACGCAGCCAGCACACATGGGCGTAGTGACCAGTAACCAGATGCGGGATACCTCCCATGTTCCATGCACATGCAAAACCACACAAACCCAACAAGCAGGGAATTTGGGATATCATTGATATCATTGGATAATCCATATTATTCATATTGGATGTTCAATGGATAATTCAATGAATTACCATGGACATCCATATAATACAATATATGGATATTTGGTAATCACATGTAATCGCTGGATATCCATATCCATCTTGAGTGTTTCTACCTTCCAATGGCCACCCCAGGATGTGATCAGCTGCAGTGCGGCAATCAGCTCGAAACAGAGCGGGTCCTGGGGTTTCGCCTTAGACATGTGCCGTTCGATGCGCCCCGTGGCAGGAAGGAGTCGTGGTGGGGACGTGGTATTGTTGGGTGAATCTAGGCGTCATGCTTATTATGTTCCAATTGCAGACAAATCCTGCATATCCTGGGCCGTCTTAATTTCACAGATTTTTTTTTGGTGTTTTGAGGCTGCCTCTGATCTCCATGCAGTCTCAAAATATTTCAGAATATTTCAGAATAGTTTCCCAAGCAACAGGGTAGCATTGTGAAGTGCTATCCAGGGAACCGTTGGAAGTGGTCAAAACAATTATTTAGTAAAAAAACTGTAAAAAAAAATGTACCAGAACCCGTGCCCAAACAAAATCTGTAAAAAACAATTGTACCAGAACCTGTGCCCAAACAAAAACTGTAAAAACAAAATGTACCAGAACCTGTGCCCAAACCTACCGCAAAAGGTTGCCAACTCAGGAAGCCTAAGACTCTGGCAGATACGTCGTGCATCCTTCATCCATGCTGAAAGCCGTTCTCTGTTTTGCAGTTTTTAAGTCTGAGTTGTTTAAGTTTGTTTTTATATAAGTTGTTTACGTGTACGTAGGCATACGTATTAGCGACGAAGGAGTGGGTATGTATGTTACGCGTAATGTAGCACGAGGAGTTCAAGGTTGTCTATAATTTGACGATCTGCTTAGGTACCCGCATGTTGTCAATTTGTTTGATCACGTTTTTCTCACATACACTCTTTTCATTTGTTTCTTCCTTATTTTTCCAGGCTTTTTTCACTATTTATTTTCACTCCTCTTTTTCCAGGTGCATTTTTTTCACACTTTTTTTCACTATGTTTTTCACTATTTTTTTCCGGGTACACTTTTTTCACACTTTTATTTCACTATTTTTTTCCAGGTACACTTTTTACACACTTTTTTTTCACACTTTTTTTCACTTTTTTTTTTCCGGGTACACTTTTTTTTCACTATTTTTTTCCGGATACACTTTTTTTTCAGATTTCAAAAGAGTAAAAAAAGTGTACCCTTACGAGGAAAACAGTCAAAATTAGTAAACAAAATGCATTTTCCTCGTAAGGGTACACCTTTTTTACTCTTCTTAGGAAAATGCATATTTTTTACTAATTTTGACTGTTTTCCTCGTAAGGGTACACTTTTTTTACTATTTTTTTCTTTTTTTCAGATTTCAAAAAAGAGTAAAAAAAGGTTACCCTTACGAGGAAAACATTCAAAATTAGTAAAAAAAAGTTCATTTTCCTCCTAAGGGTACACTTTTTTTACACTTTGAAATCTGAAAAATAAAAAAAAAGTTAAAAAAGTGTACCCTTACGAGGAAAACAGGCAAAATTAGTAAAAAAAGTGCATTTTCCTCGTAAAGGTACACTTTTTTTACACTTTTGAAATCTGAAAAAAGAAAAAAAAGAGTAAAAAACGTGTACGCTTACGAGGAAAACAGTCAAGATTAGTAAAAAAAGTGCATTTTCCTCGTAATGGTACACTTTTTTTACTCTTTTGAAATCTGAAAAATAGTAAAAAAGAGTAAAGAAAGTGTACCCTTACGAGGAAAACAGTCAAAATTAGTAAAAAAAAGTACATTTTCCTCGTAAGGGTACACTTTTTTTACTCTTTTGAAATCTGAAAAATAGTAAAAAAATGTAAAAAAGAGTAAAAAAAGTGTACCCTTACGAGGAAAACATTCAAAATTAGTAAAAAAAAATAATTTTCCTCGTAAGGGTACACTTTTTTTACATTTTTGAAATCTGAAAAAAAGAAAAAAAGAGTAAAAAAAGTGTACCCTTACGAGGAAAACAGTCAAGATTAGTAAAAAAAGTGTGTTTTCCTCGTAAGGGTACACTCTTTTTACACTTTTGAAATCTGAAAAGTAGTAAAAAAGAGAAAAAAAAGTATACCCTTACGAGGAAAACAGTCAAAATTAGTAAAAAAAGTGCATTTTCCTATCAAGGGTACACTTTTTTTACTCTTTTGAAATCTGAAAAATAGTAAAAAAGAGTAAAAAAGGTGTACCCTTACGAGGAAAACAGTCAAAATTAGTAAAAAAAATGTATTTTCCTCGTAATAGTACACTTTTTTTACTCTTTTGAAATCTGAAAAATAGTAAAAAAAAGTAAAAAAAGTGTACCCTTACGAGATCTTACGAGGAAAACATTCAAAATTAGTAAAAAAAGTGCATTTTCCTCGTAAGGGTACACTTTTTTTACACTTTTGAAATCTGAAAAGTAGTAAAAAAGAGTAAAAAAAGTTACGTACCCTTACGAGGAAAACAGACAAAATTAGTAAAAAAAGTGCATTTTCCTCGTAAAGGGTACACTTTTTTTACACTTTTGAAATCTGAAAAAAAAAAGAGTAAAGAAAGTGTACGTTTGCGAGGAAAACAGTCAAAATTAGTAAAAAAAGTGCATTTTCCTCATAAGGGTACATACATGTTTTTACTATTTTTCAGATTTCAAAAGAGTAAAAAAAAGTGTACCCTTACGAGGAAAATGCATTTTTTTTACTAATTTTGACTGTTTTCCTCGTAAGGGTACACTTTTTCTACTCTTTTTTTTCCATTTTTCAGATTTCAAAAGAGTAAAAAAAGTGTACTATTACGAGGAAAATGCATTTTTTTTACTAATTTTGACTGTTTTCCTCGTAAGGGTACACCTTTTTTACTCTTTTTTTCTTTTTTTCGGATTTCAAAAGTGTAAAAAAAGTGTACCCTTTACGAGGAAAATGCACTTTTTTTACTAATTTTGACAGTTTTCCTCGTAAGGGTACACTTTTTTTTACTCTTTTTTACTACTTTTCAGATTTCAAAAGTGTAAAAAAAGTCCACCCTTACGAGGAAAATTCACTTTTTAAACTAATTTTGACTGTTTTCCTCGTAAGGGTACACTTTCTTTACTCTTTTTTACATTTTTTTACTATTTTTCAGATTTCAAAAGAGTAAAAAAAGTGTACCCTTACGAGGAAAATGCACTTTTTAAACTAATTTTGTCTGTTTTCCTCGTAATGGTACACCTTTTTTACTCTCTTTTTCTATTTTTCAATTTTCAAAAGAGTAAAAAAAGTGTACCCTTACGAGGAAAATGCATTTTTTTTTACTAATTTTGAGTGTTTTCCTCGTAAGGGTACACTTTTTTTACTCTTTTGAAATCTGAAAAAAAAGTGTACCCGGAAAAAAATAGTGAAAAAAAAGTGTGAAAAAAGTGTACCCGGAAAAAAAAAGTGAAAAAAAGTGTGAAAAAAAAGTGTGTAAAAAGTGTACCTGGAAAAAAATAGTGAAATAAAAGTGTGAAAAAAGTGTACCCGGAAAAAAATAGTGAAAAACATAGTGAAAAAAAGTGTGAAAAAAATGCACCTGGAAAAAGAGGAGTGAAAATAAATAGTGAAAAAAGTGTACCTGGAAAAAGAATAGTGAAACAAATACTGAAAAAAGTGTACCTGGAAAACAAATAGTGAAACAAATAGTGGAAGAAGTGCACCGGGAAAAACATAGTGAAAAAAGTGTACCTGGAAAAAATGTGAATTTCACCTGTGCCATTGATGTGAGTTGCGCGGGTGACATGTGCTACTCTTTACGTCCTGGGTAACTGGAATGCCACTTGATGCGTGTTACCATGCAAAGGCCAGCAGAATTCTAGTAAGACCCTTTCTTCTCTTTGTTTGTGCAGTTCTACTTCCCTGGCATTTTCCCTACTCACACAAGTCACTATTTTTTTTTTCTATTTGTTTCCAGGTGCAGTTCCAGTCACACATTTTTTTTACAGTTTTTTTCACTATTTATTTCCAGGTACACTTCAAGTCACAATTTTTTTACAGTTTTTTTACAAATTAATTATTTTATGGTTTCCAGAGGTTGGCTAAAATGCCCCTTCACAAGGGTAGCAGCTACCATGTCCACTGCAAGGTCTTATGGCCTTGATGCCCAATCGAGTAACCTGCAGTTCATGCATCAGTGCCGTGGGCAGATTATGTTCAGCGGACATGGCGCAGCAATGCGCAGCACATGTCATACTAATGATGTGTGCAAAAAAATGAAGCACCTCATAGGCTCCAATTAGTATAGAACTGTATAGATACAGTGACCCTTTCTCAAACTCCAGTTGTTTGGAGGTACTGTCTGGGTGAAGACAGTCAAAGCCCTGATGACTCACAATGGATTAATAGAACTTGCGCAGGCTCCTGTTTCCGAATGTTCATGCCAACAAACATTCGGATTTCCCCCAATTTTTCCATAAATTTCCATTCGACATCCTTAAAACCAACTGTGGCTCAGGTGCATGTGAGGAATCTGAATGCTGGCCATGGGCAGTGAAACTCTTGGAAGACATGTCAGAGGCCACTGGTTGCTGCAACTGGATTTGATGGGAGGAAAGCAGAAGGGCCGGAACTTCAGGTGATTTCGGATAGAAGTCTACAAGTTTCTTGTTTGGGAGCCACTAATCACAATCAATTGATATCATTTTTTCAGAGTTTGGTTCAAGTTTTCATCCGCTTTTTAGATCTTTTTAGTGCCCACTGTTGACCCATCCCCAGATATCCCATGAGGCCTCTATGGCTCCTGAGTTGGAGACGTGCAATGCTGCCCTGAGCGCCTGCCAGGGGAGTGGCTGGCAACAGGCACTGGTGACTTGGTGAAACACCCAGAAGAAAAGATGATTTGGATTTGGTAGTTAGTGTAAGCTCAAGATGAGTGGGATAATCAAGAACCTCAGAAAAGCAACAAACACTTCATGCACAGCTTCTAGGTGCAGTAAATGAGGTTCGGAACGGTGCTGTTCATTACATTTTGGCAGCGATGTTGCGGCTAATCATGATGTTCTGAGGCCCTCTTAGACGGTATGCTTGAATACGGACCCTATCCAGACGAGATCAGCTTCAATGCTGCCATGAAGGCATGCGGCAGTCAGGTCCTTAACCTTATGCCATGCCTGGAGGAATTTGAGCACTTCTCAAAAAAATGCGCCAATCAGTGTCAAGCCGCACATGTTTCGTCGTTGTTCTGTCATTTTCTCATCCATTTGGAGGATGAGTTGACTGGTTCAGTTCCCTCAGAACTTCGCTGTTCCATTGTTTGCTTTGCATCAACAGCACTCACTACTGTACTTTGCTTTTCGAGGTGCGTCCAAAACTCACTTTGCAATGGACATTTGGAGAAAGCTGGAGAGACAAAGCTGCACTCGAAATTTGAAGCAAGCAGGATTGGCAGGGTCAAAGAAAGAAACTGAGGGCATGTTCTCTGTTTTTGTCAGTGAAAAGCTAGATTCAGCGAAGAAGACAGTGATAGTTCAATTGCAGTTGTGCCATCACTTTTTCATAGTTTTCTCAGGATGGGCGGCTACAATCCCGACATCATTTCATTCAGTACACTCCTGGCTGCCTGTGAACAGCGATGGACATTCTTCACGGGAGGTCTTGATCAGCTCGCCGAGTTTGCTGTGGCAAGAACGCTTCGTCCACGCCGAAAAATGGATCGATGATGAACCACGCATTCTGAATGCTGCATCCAGTGATGCATCTCTTAAATTCTCTTGATATCTCTTAGATCTATGCTCTACCTGCCGGCAGGGTTCTATTATACACATTCACCACATTCGACATTCAACATGAATGCCCTCCGTCAACATGATTAACTGTGGTTCATTTAGGTCCTCTTGGAGCATCCGCGTTTCCTGGCATCCAGACCTCCACGCAAGGACAACGAGCGAAGTTGCAGTTTGGTTGTGCATCTGGCGATGACCCCCAGCAAACTAACGACATGGCAATGGAAAATCACCCCTTGTTAATAAGGAAATAGACAACTTGAAATAGGCTATAAATAAGCCATTTTCCAAAGCCGGTCAGTGTACCAGAGGGTATATTAATGTATATTATATGCGAATATACTGGGGAGTCCTGGTTGGACCTTACCAACCAGGATCCCCGATGGTATGGTTGTCATGTTTGTCCAATGATGTGGAAAAACTATCCTCTGACCGGGGGGGGGCAGGGCGGTCAAAAAAATCCACGGGATCGGATGGTTAGTGCTGATGAAGTTTCATGAGAAGAACACTAGAACAATTAAAAGATACAGAACCCATAGTAGAACTGGGACGTACTTGATATACTGTGGTTATACCCACTTACTAAGTAGGATGCAAACTGCAGTATTTGTTGCAAGTGACCTGTGCATTTCGCCAAGTTTGGCTTCCAGGATGCCTTTGGAGATACGGCCCTGCACCGTGCGGCAGCTTTCGGTCATACAGAGGTGTTGGGATCCAAGTGCCCGGTTTGTCATGCTGTGCCTGTGGTTTTGCAGATATGTTTTGCTGTGCTCCCAGCTATTTGAGTAGAAAAACCATGGTTAACACCAAGCGGAGAGGTGTCAGCACATGAAATGACCTACCTGCAACTCTATAGCTGCAATCTAAATAGGTGGTTGCAGGGTCAGTGTAACACACTGATGAAGTTCCCTGCTCGTCCTAAAGACGTCCGCATGAAGAGACAAAGAACCAAACCCAGTCTTGGCGACAAATTCAAGATTCCCATCTTAGGATCCCATGGATGTCCTCCCAATATCCCTTGATAATTTTCTGGATGAAAACCATATGTTTTGAAATTAAACAAGTAGACCATATCCATCCATAGCCTATGTATGATTTCAATATCAAAAAATAAACACGCCAGTTATTTTGATCCACACCCATCAGCTTCGCCCATTGGCCACCATGGACCGTGGACGCTGGAGATCAAGGTTCACCAGACCCATGGCATTGTGCCTTGGTGAAGGCAGAGGTGCCGGAAAATTCATCATTTAAATTTAGTTGGATGATTTTCTCAAAACAAACACATTTTGATGATTTTTGATGGGGATTTCCCATGTTATTGATGACACCGGGGGGGGGTAATGGTGATATATGTGATATTCATGGGGAGATTTCATGGTTGTTTATGGGATTTTCGTCCAGCAATATGATATTTGGGTGTGCTTGCAAATGGGATATACCGTATATACCCCCCTGATTTATGGCCATTTTAGATCAACCTTTCTGGTGCAACGGTGAAAACTTCAAATCATTTATTCTCCGTTCCAACGAGAAGTTGTTGACCAGAAAAAAACAACAAAAGATACAGCGTCGATTCTTTTGATACCTGGGTTTGGGTCAAATATGTAAGACCATGTAAGACCCTTGCCCAAACAGATCTTGATTGACTATGATTGACTTCTAAAACCCTCTATTGATCTCCATGTTGATTGCATATTGATCCATTTTCAACCCAATTTTGACGTTTTTTTTTTGGGAATACCAGGGTACCCTCAGCGTCAAGGTGTGTGGGTGCCCTCGGCAGCTGCTTCGCGGGCACTCCGCTCCAGCAGCAGAGGCCATGAGTAGGTGATTCTCAGGGTCTATGTGACTGTACTGTATAGTATACTACATACAATTATACTAATACAATTATATATATATATATCAATTTATATTACTGTAGTTTTTTTTTCATTTATATTAATCTATATTATACACATGAATATGTATATAGATTTTCATAAATGAATGGATGAATGGGTAGATAGATGGATTGGTAGACATATCATGACACGTCGTCATTTTGAACAGCCAAATAAACATGAATCGACTGGCAGTTTATTTCTTTTTTTTTCAATTTGTTGGTTATACATGGTCATTCAGCATATACCCCATTAAAAAAACCATATTACAAAAATCCCATTGTTGTTGTAACTTATACCCCAGTATATCCCATGATTCCCATGATTCTTGGATGCCACGGGGCGCCGCTATGCGCCGCTCTCCCCATGTTTCGTCGAGGTCCCGGAGCCTCGTGGACGGTGCGCCGCGGGGCGCGCCCAGCGAGTACCTGCGCTGGCGTCCTGGGCGGCGAAGCCGCATCCCGGTCGCTGGTGAGGACACGAAGTCGCTGGGAAGGGCACAACTTGCTGCGCTTTTGTAGATCTCAGTGCTATAGAAGGATATAGAAGGTATAGAGGCTTATATGACGTAAAAATATATATATATATGGATAATATATGTATATATGTATTGTATATATGTATATATGTATATATGTATATATTTATATATGTATATATGTATATATCTATAGCTATTTATTTGTGTGTGTGTGTTTGTTTGTCTGTCTGTCTGCCTGTCTTTCTATATAACAGTATGATACTTGGAAGTGTTTGATAGTAGGGTATACCACCAATTGGCCGTTTTAGTACGGGAACTGTTGACGATCCAGTGGATTTAGGGGTACTCTACTTTCAGACAAGCCCATATATGATGGAAAAACGCGGAAAAACCTGTTTGAACATTTGCAGATGCATAAAATCCAGACTTGCACTGCTGGTCAATGGCACCGGTGGAGATTTATAGAGTCTGTGGTGCTTTGGTGGGTCCTTCATGAACCACCTTTTTAAATCTTTTTAAATCATCAAATGCTCGTTGTGTTTCAAGTGGCTTGAATCATTCGGCAGTCTTCGAAAAGGAACACAAGGAACTGAGCACTACTGAGTGAGGCTCAATGTAAGGCCTGTACGCAACCAAAGTGTGAAGAAGGTCATGAAGTAAACAATGACAATGTAGTCCTTGGTCAAGTCAAGAAACACATCTCATTTTAGAATCAAACTTCACGCCCCAAAGACATATATTCTTTGGCAAAGCTCATTACCGTCTCGTCCATGCCTGGCTTCTCAAGTTTGCCTAAGTTGGTGCAGCACCCCTTGTGATTAGTGGAAACTAGGTATGTGCGAATGAGAAACGTCTTCAAACATCTCCAAACGCACAAAGGCAGAGAACATTTGTGCAAAGAGGCAAAGAGTATCAAAGAGTACTGTATATAGCAGACGGCCGAGATTTATGTTCTTTTTTGATTCGATATTCTGCAGCAAAACTGTGGCCTCTCCCGGTTGCTAGGACCAGAGCGGCGGTGAAATTCAAACATTAGAAGGCAGGGTCTCGACCGCAAGACCATCCCAATGATCCATGTGATTCCCAGAAAAAGAAATTTCAGTATCACGGAAAACCATCATAAACCAATCTAAACTAATCTAAACCATAGAAGACCCACGTTCATCCACATTCCAACATATTCCAAGATTTTCCCAAAACACCTGTCGTCATTTGTCGTGATCCTTTAGGCCAGAAAAAGGCGGCGTCCTCCAAGACCCAAATGCTGCGTTTTGCACTGCCGGCGCTTGGAATCTACTTGGCCAATCCAATCATGAGCAATATCGATGCTTGGCCCAAGCATCGATGGCAAGAATAGGCCATAATTATCATAAGTGGGCCATAGTATCTGGAGGATTCTGTAGGTGCCATGGAGCATTGTGATAATATTCATTACTAATGGGCTATTATAGAATTTATAGATATGATGAATCAGTCTAAAATAGATCTAAAATAGACAATACCACCTATACATGCGGACTTGCACTTAGAATATTCAATTTTATTGACTATGCAGTTAGAATGTCCTTAAAACCATACTTCCCCGGGGGCAAAAACCAATGCACTTAGAATAATCCATTTTTGCACATATATATTAATAATAATAAATAGAGCATGATTTTAATAGAAATTTAGGACTGTTTCACAAAATCCATGCACATAGAATAATAAATGCATGTGTTCCTATGTGCAATGGGGATGCTTTGTACATGTAAACATGATAAACATGCATGTACATATATGTATATGTATGTATATATTTATATATATATAAACCATTCTCGATTCAAATTGGATACCTTGCTGGTGATAGAATATGAACCCAACCAGCCCAATTGCAACAAATCACAATTGTTTCACAAAATCCTTGCACTTAGAATATTCCTGCATGTAGTATGGTTGTATGTGTATATGTGCTCTAAAAACCTACCTAAAGAATAGCACAGTGTTTGCATGTAGGAATAATATATATATATAATTATATGAATATATCATGTGCATCACGTACATGCATGCACATGAAAGAAAATGACTATATATATATATACAGCATGCTGCATACATGTACACACATGTTGGTGTCTGTGTTCACGTGCCGATAGAGCATGATTTTAATAGAAATTTAGGACTGTTTCACAAAATCCATGCACATAGAATAATAGCTGCATGTGTTCCTATTTGCAATGGAGATGCTCTGTACATGTAAACATGATAAACATGCATGTGCATATGCATATGCATATGCATATATGTATGTATGTATGTATGTATATATATATAAATAAACCATTCTTGATTCCAATTGGATACCTTGCTGGTGATAGAATATGAACCCAACCAGCCCAATCGCAACAAATCACAAGTGTTTCACAAAATCCTTGCACTTAGAATATTCCTGCATGTAGTATGGTTGTATGTGTATATGTGCTCTAAATACCTACCTAAAGAATAGCACAGTGTTTGCATATAGGAATGATATATATATATATTTATCATGTGCATCACGTACATGCATGCATATGAAAGAAAATGACTATATATATATATAGTTATATATACATGCATTCATGTACATACATGTTGGTGTCTGTGTTCACGTGCCGATAGAGAATGCATTCCGGTACAGTGGTTGTTTTGCGGAAAAAAGCGGGGGTGCTTCACAAATTTGATGCACCTAGAATATTCTGGAGTCCCAGTGTTTTGAAAAACATATGAACAAATGATCCATCATAGATGCACATGTTTGTGCATCATTCGACAACACAACATTTTGTGTCAATCACTTGGAAGGTTTAAGTGTGGTACAACCTCAAGCCGGAGGTTGTTTTGCGAAAAAAACGGGGGTGCTTCACAAATTTGATGCGCTTAGAATATTCTCAAGTCATTATCCATTTAATATCATATATTTGTTAATATTCTATCTGCGCAATCCAGGCTTGCACTTAGAATATTCCCCCCGGGGAGCCCGCAGGTAATTTTTGTTGGCTGGAAGTTGATTGACTTAATATTCTAAGTGCGGGTCCTCGGGTATAGATTCTATCACATATCCCACAAGGACGTTTGCGTCCAAACCCATAGATCTTGGACGTGGGACTGGCCAGTAACATCAAACTGATGTGATTTCCAGAAGTTTTTTTCCTTCCCTGTCTGCCATAGTCCAAGCAGGTGCAAATTTCTAGATTGCCCGATTATTGTGGTCATGGTGCTGGTGCTGGTGCTGGTGGTGACAATGATGGTGACAATGATGGTGGTGGTGATGATGATGATGATGATGACGATGAGGATGATAATTTTGATGATAATTAATTATGGTGGTGGTGGTGGTGATGATGATGATGATGATGATGATGATGAATCGATTCTTCACCCATGCGTGCTGAGGACAATAGTTTCGTTGGCCGTTTCGCGGGCACCACCGCGCTTGCTGCCTTGAGCCCAGGAGGTCACTCGTGGCGTTGGTGATCCCTCCCTCAGCGTTGTTGTGCAAATCCTGTTGCTAGAGCTCCCGGAATTTTGGTGACGTACAAGGTCAACATAAGTGCGTGTTGCCGTGTTGTTTGTGTTTTTGAATCTACCATTTGCAAATGCAAAGCTGTGGTCACCCATCATTGGGCAATTTCAGAAGCGAACGTACTTGCTACGCTTCTTTGCAGCGTTTGAAACATGTTGAAACAACCTTGAGCCGTTGCCTTGACGATCTTTACTGTACCCGGACTCGTATGTTTAATTATGGCTGATTCGATTTCTTGCAACACATTTTTATCCATTCAAAAGCAACCGTAAGGTACAACCAAGTCGAGCCTTTTTTCCATGGTTTTTAGCCTTGGAAAACCATCTCTGTCCAGGTGTGTTAGCTGACAACTTGTTTTTCCTCTTCAATTCAGTGCTGAGTGCTGCTACCACTGGGCTGGTTGCACGTGCTTGGCCGAAAGGGGTGAAGAATGCCCGCCAGGATGCGCCCGCCAGTACCCAAGAATTCACCTTCGGGGATGGTTGATACCAACCATTTCTGGTACGTAAAATTGGCAAGGACTGATTGTGGAATATTTACAACATTATAAGTTATACACAATTGGTGTCAAAGTTTTTGTGCCATATTGTGGCCTGAATCTGATTTAATTTTTCCTGGACAGACCATCATTCCCCTATATTCCCCTGTTTGTGTCGGGATTTTTGAGAGGAGCTCACGCGGACCTTTACCTTTGCTCTGGCGGTTGGATTCTCGTCATCGTGTCAAGCTCTGACCCCAAAATTGTAGGCAGAACTGATAGGAAGTCGGGCAGAACTGAGGTATCTTGAGGTCAAATCTGAAACCATCCCAATATGCAAAGCCGTGGGTTAACTATGGTTAATTTATGTATACAGGATGGTCGTGGTTTTGAGCATGCTGAGGCGGGCCCCATTTTGATCATATTTTGATCATATAATTCTGGCGATGGGTGAAATGTTCCAAGTTCTTTGGCACTTAGGAGTTCCACTGACAATGTTCTACTTCTTCTGCAGCAACTGGGCCTTGGGTCTCATGGGTGTTGCACCTGATGTTCGAGAGATGGCGGCCTCATATGCACGAATCAGAGGCGTGTTTCAACCCGTACTACTAGATCTTACTATAGACTGTTGCATGCCTTGCTGCACAGAACTTGCAACCTCCAGGCTGTGTGATCGACAAAAACATACAAAAACTCGCAGCTGCATGGTGCTTTATGAATCTTTATGATGTGGAACATGGCAGGTTCCATTTTTTGGCCGTGGTGTGCCTCCGTTGCACACTTGATTCAATGTAAACTCGTTGAGAATCACTAATTGCTTTGCCGGCAAATGCATATTGCACAAACAATTGTACCTTGTACAAATGTCCTGTGACTTCGTGTGGATGCCCACTTGTGACAGCTACTGGTATTGAGTCTACGTCGCTCGAAAATCGTTGGACAGGCCTTGTGGCTTGGGCGTCGCTGGCCCAGGGTGTTTGCCTCTCTGCAATCTTAGCCACACGGGATGCAGTCACCCCGTTGAAGGTGGTGTGCGCAGCTGCAGTGACTTGTCAGTCTCAGTACAACTTCGAACGTGTGAATTATTGAAATGGAGAGCCACTAATCACTTCCTAGCAAAATAATGCAAATTCTTGAATCAATTCTGGAATGACAGGACCAGTATCTCTTGAATATGTTGATTCTTTCAGAAGGCTGAAAACGGGAGATTTCCTGTCACACCTTTTGTGGTGAATATCTCTTCATCCAGCAGTTCGGTTATGGATTCAACTATCACCCATCCTTCACCCAGACAGGCTCTGAATTGCTTGGGGGACTTCCTTTTCTGCTGCTGGCCTCTGCAAACCGGCGTGAGTGGTGCTGCAGCTGCTACAGCTCTGTCGACCATGGCGGGATTTGCCACTTGGCTCCATTCTGAGTTCATCAACTTTATCGAGCACGAAAAGGTTAGGATTCTATTCCCCCATTTGTTGCATTTCCCATTTGCCGAATTGGTACGACTTGGTTTGGTTTTCTACCTTGTACTCCTGTATACATGTCATAGTCCTATATCATAACATATCATAACATATCATAACATATCATAACATATCATAACATATCATAACATATCATAACTACTATCTATAAAAAGTCTATAAAGCCCCCCATATCTGCATATTGGGGTTTCGAATGACTTGACTTAAGGCATCTCTTTCTGCCACTTTTAAACAGTTTTTCATCCCTGGTAGGCTTTGATGCTGCGGAGCCTGAAGAGGAAGCAGATCCTTCCCAGCATCAAGGCAGAGGCCTTGAGAGATGCAGGACCCGTCTTGGAATATGCCGCTCGGAGGTGTTAAGGGAACCGAGAGCCGGAGGCCTTGAGCAGAGGGGTTTTGCTGGAATTCAACCATATTTGACCAACGAAATGATAGGAAAATATAGGACTATATGACTATATGGCTTGGGTTTGTCTAATTTGATTGGGGAAATGATGATGCAGTAAACCACGAGGGTTGGGTTACCTAAATTTTAAGACACCCATTTCATACGATTGGAACATATGGGGAATAGGTCAAAACCAATGATTTTCCAACATGAATGGGGGATGAACAACCATTTACCAGCTACAAAGTTTGACTTGAAAACCCGAGGTGGAGTTTTGATCCGTGGCTACGGCCATACTGGAATCAGTTGTTGAGGATTTGCGAATGTTCCAACCAACTATGTCTGAGGATGTCTTAGGAATTTCTTAAGATATTAGCCTCATATTAGCCTCTATTAGTGACTTCTTTGTTCTCACCTTTTGTTTTTCTTGACATTTGATCTTCCCCTTCCCAGGGATCCACCAGGCTGGACCCATGATGATCATCAATACCACCCGCATCATGGGCTACACCGCCATGGCCTTTGCAGCAGCTGCTTTGGGCACGCAGGAACTGGCAGCTTACCAGGCGAGTGGTTCGAGTGGTTCGAGTGGTCGTGGTGATGTGAAGAGTGGATTTCTGCGCAATTCTGGATTTTTTGGAGTATAGTCATGTATAGTCTTATAGTGTCGTATATAAGTATACGTATATAATATGTATATATATAATTATATATAATTATATATAATTATATAATATATAAAATTATATACATAATAATATATTATTATATATTATTATATTATTTTATATTATTTTATATTATTTTATATTATTATATATTATTATATATTATTATATAAGCTAGAACCCCTCACCCCCCAGTTCATATTATCCACCCTCACACATCACACACATAAATTTCAGAACAACATCAAACATACATCATCACAACATTTCACAACAAAATTTTCACATAATATTTTCACAAAAATCATCACATTTTTTCTAGCAGTATATCATTCAGAACAGCAAACACAAACCCAACATTTCATCACATAATTTTCATCACAACATCACACATACATCATAACATAAATTTCAAATTAATATCACACATAAACATACACATATAACACAACATGAGTAAGAAGTAAATAGAAAAGAATAACATACATTTTATAAAAAAAATATTTTATAAAATTTATGGGGTTATTTTTTATAATAAGATATTATAAAGCTAGGGGGCAATGTCTATATAAAGTTGCTCATAAGTCATCGGTGTGTATGAGGATTTTTCATCAAAGGAGAGGACCATTTCCAGTGGGTCAATGTATATAGCATTTTGGTGATTTCTTATCACAAGGAGGCAAAGTGGTGATAGGGTATGAGGACTTAATCATCATAGGGTATGAGGATTTAATCATCATAGGGTATGATGACTTAATCATCATAGGGTATGAGGACTTAATCATCATAGGGTATGAACCAACCTACAGACCTTTGTAAGTCCAACCCCGGCTTTACCAAATTCAGCCTTGAATTTGACAGAAACCAAAATCAACCTTCCCAAATTCAGCCTTGAATTTGACAGCAAGCCAAATTCAGCCTTGAATTTCTCAAATTCAGCCTTGAATTTACCAAAACCACACCTTGACTTTGCTCAAATTCAGCCTTGAACTCATCAAAATCAGACCCCAACTTTGCCAAAATCAGACCTTGACTTTGCCCAAAATGAAAATCAGGCACCAACTTTACCAAATTCGCACCTTGAGTTTAGAACAATGCGAGTTCTTCTGCAGTCGGGACTTCAGCGTGGGGGATAGTTTTGGCATTTTTTTTCTTGTAGCCATGCACCAAAGGCACCAAGTGCATGTCAAGCCATGGATGGTGCTGGTCGCTGTCTTCATTTTGAAGAAGTTGATGGGAGCCTTTGTGCCACCGTTGCAGGTTGGCGATGGAAATGCATTTTCAAGACACGGTTGCGCTTATTTACGGTCATAATATATATATATATGTATGACACCTTTGTTCGGTGAGTTTTGAATGCAATCATGCTAAGTGCGTAATTAGTTTTTTTGGGTTTTGGTTTCATTCGCAGGTGGCATCAGCGAGACTGCGGGGCACCATTGAGCGTCCTCAATTTATTGGGTCTAGCATTGAAACTTTGCTGTTTGGCACTTTTCTCTACTTGGTCATGCAGAGAAAGAATCTGAAAGGCATTTTTCCATATTTTATATATATATATTTGATGCATTGTATGATCTTTTTTTTCTCCTCAATTTTTGCCCTCGAGGTGATCAAGGATTTGCGCCCACGCTTGACCCAATCCAGAGCTTGGGATATAAAGGTCTGGCAAGTCATAGTGTCTGCTTCGAGTCTTGCTGTAGCGACAATACAGGCATGGCGGGCATTCAGGGACTCTCAGAGGGCATTCAAAGCCTCTACAGAGGGCAAAATCCAAGCAGCAGTGGCAAAGGCCATGGAGCCTTTTGAACCCACAAGGGCGCAAGATGAGGTCATCAAAAGGCCAGTGATGGACACCATCAAAGACCGCATCAAGAGCTGGCGAGAACATGCAACCATCATCGGGGGCCGCTACCTGTCAGGAAAGTCGGTGGCAGTCGAAGAAGCCTTGCGAGGAGTGCGAGGTGTTGTGCGATTCACCATCGAAAGCGCCGATTGGAAGAAGGTGATGTGCGAGCAAGAGAAACTGGATAATATAGGACCGTTCAAAGAGGTCATGAGCCGAGCGCGCGAAAAGCTCAAGGACTTTCCGGACAACCTCACCAAGTATCCCATTCTCCTCCTCGACATCCCTCGCACAACCACTGAAGGACTGAGTGGATTTTTTTGGTTTTGTTTTCTGTCGGTGGTGTAGTGCATTTTGCCAGTCATGTTTTTTTGTTTAAATGTTTTTGCCCGTTCCTCTTGGCAAGGAATTGACCTAATCTCCAGCACAGCGAAGGATATGGCGACAGACCAAATCGGAGCTGCCGTTCATGCACCCCAGCTTATAAATGATATTTTCAAATTGTTCAAACCTAAAAATATTTTTCGGGAAGGATGAATGATGTCTATCCTTTTGTCCAAGGTGATTGTATCAGCCTCTTCGGCGGCAGTGGCGCTGGCTTTCGATGCTGGCGGAAGTGCAAGACAGGAAGACATTTGGGTTGCTGACTTGACTGAGGAGGAGGCAAAGGAGTTTTTGGCACTGCACGGGCACGAGAACAATTTTGAAGAGTTCGTGGATGCTTGTGTTTCAGCTCAATTCAACAACATGTTGATTAAGTTTTGTTTGGTGCTTTCAAGGTTTTTTTGCGGGAGTTCATGTCAGGTGGCTTGCGGATTGGCGACTTGGCGAAGGCCTGTGAGAAATTGAAGTGCCTAGCTTGAACAGGTGAAGTTTTACTTTTTCGTTTTTTAAACCTCGTCGGGATATAATATTTTGTGTCTCGTGCAAGCTAAGGAAGGGAATATCTTTGGACGACACACGGCAAGAGTATCTGCGAGTTGCTACTGCGGAAGTTGTCGGCTTCATGAAGTTGCAGGTTGATCCAGACCTCAACGGACGCCAGATGTTGCAAGAACTCCGCAAAGTTTATCCTGAAGGCATCCCAGAGGTTTTCAATGGCATTCGCATCAGACCAAAGAAGGTTGCAGAGCAAATTCGTAACGAAGATGTTCACGCGCAACTACTCCTTCGCCGCCTCCTTCGCCTTTTGTGATCGGCAGTTGCGGGCCTGGGCTCTCTTGCCTGGGTACGAAGTGTGGAGTGTGGAAAGTGAGAAGAGGCCTTCAACAGCCCAAAAAGAAAATCAAAAGAACGTTTAAAAAAGAGAAGAACATATGAAGGGCTCAAAATGTTTCACAAGAGCAGACCATTTTGGCCTGTCAATGGATGAATGGAAGAAAAGAAAGGATCCTCCTAAAAAGAAAAGAGCAGGACCATTTGGCCTGTCAACCGAAGGAGGTTGTTTCATGGGTTTCACTTGGCCCCCTTTGTGGGGTGTACTTTTGAGGGCTACCCCCTTTAAACCCCGAATCTTTGGGTCTGGATGTCCACGCAGTGTATTTTCATCCTCTCAAGAAGCGCGCTGGTTTTTTGCCTCCAAATTGCACAAGGAGGCCGCAGAAGCGCAACTAGGCAATCCCGCATTTGAAAAAGGAAGACTTCAGCTTGTGCGCGGTGTTGCTTGCGTTAGATCTTGCCACCTACAACACAAAGCACACAATCAAAATACTCACTAGGACATCTTTTAAAATCCCATTCCAAGATATTACAATTGATATCGGCATTCTTTAAGTCTAAACTTGCAACATCAAAGCCACTATTTTTGGCAACTCTTCCAATGCTACCGGTTCCACTAAATAATTCGAATAATATCATAACAATATAATATACCAAAATATTATTATGAAAACTTGTTCATTATCCATTTTATATATTATTACATATTATTATATATTATTATATATTATTATATATTATTATATATTATTACATGTTATTATATATTATTATATATTATTATATATTTTTTTAATATATTATTATATATTATTTAATAAATTATTATATATTATTTTTTTTATTATTATATATTATTATATATGATTATATATTATTATATATTATTATATATTTTTATATATTATTATTTTTTATTATATATTAATATTTTTTTTATATATTATTATATATTATTATATATTATTATTTTTTATTATATATTATTATTGATTATTATGTATTATTATATATTATTATATATTATTATATATTATTATATATTATTTTATATTATTATATATTATTATATATTACTCTTATTATATATATTATATATTATTATATATTATTAAATATTATTATTTATTATTTATTATTATGTTTTTATTATATACTATTATATATTAATTTATATTATTATATATTATTATATATTACTATTATTGTGTATATTTTATATTATTATATATTATTAAATATTACTATTTATTATTTATTATTATTTTTATTATTATGTATTATTATATATTATTATATATTATTATATATTATTATATATTTAATAATTTATAACAATATACATATTGATATGTTTCTAATAGCAAGGGGTAGATTTTTTCATTGAGCTAGAGTGTCAATGCCGGCATCAACATAATGGCAGTTTTGACTGTCATCATGTGGATTGATGTGTCGACTGGATCACGTTGCACCAATCCATCCAGGAATCCACCACATCCAATATGAAAACTCAACGATGGCGGATGCTCCAAGATTTTCCACGATATTCCCCCATGATTGTCCCATGTTTTTTCCCAGGAATTTTCCTACATATTCCTGCCAGAAATGATTGGGGTTAGGTGATCCTCGGCATTTTCGTTTTGTTCGCGTTCGTGGGGGCTCCACTGAGCCAAACGGCTCAGTGACTTGGAAAAAAGGCGATGGGATGTCGGATGAATGTCAACAATTGTATCACCCAAGAAATCGCAAGATATACAACTCAAGTCAGATAGAATCACTCCAAATCACTCCAGATTCTTGGCAGATCGTTGCAAATCCATTGAATGATGTAGGTGAAAGCAGCTGCAACAGGATCACATCCAGCTGCCTCTGTAGATGACTTCAGGATGATTGACGCGATCATTACGACCGCGATAGGAACATAGCCTTGAGGTCCAGTCATTGAAACTAATGACCTTAAGTCTTTAAACATGTTCTTCCTCCACCAATCACGCTGTGACGGACCCACGCTTCTTCCATTGTTTCTTGGAATATCGCTCTATCTCAAAAGAGTAGCCGGAAGATGTCCAAAGACGTGGTGGCTAGGCTCATTCTTCTCGTACGATCTATTTTGATTTTGAGGGTTATTGCTTAAGACAAGCAGCGAGTTTGCATTTGACGTCCAAAGTGTGACACAGAACCAGATCCTTTTTACTCGTATTAACATTTTTCATCCGTACTTCAACCCTGTAAGTGTGGGTAGCATGGCCCTTGCAGTGATGCCTGCAAATCACTTTCTGTGACGACTTGAGTTTCCTTCTCACTCAAAAGACAATAAGGCTTCGCACCCTGTGATGTTTTCATATATTTTCGTCAGATGTATTCCAATTTTTTTTATAATAATAATCCCCAATGCCAAGAACCTTGGTAGTATAACTCCCAATAACAATAAATCACCAGGATATTTTTTATGGCTCATTTGACTCTGCTTTTGTTGGGCGGCAACATCGTGAAGCGAGTTGGAAGGAACCCATCATCCCTGACCCAGGAGTATGCTCCCGCCATTGATCGAAGCAAACGACACCCAGGGAAGTCGCAAAGTCAGTGGAAATGTGCCAAGCTCGGAACAGAGGCCATTTTCCGATGACCCACCTGAGAATGATTTGATGCCATTTATATAACATAATATTATATCTATGGATTTGGTGGAGAAGCAATGATATATTCCGAAATTTCAATTATCCAATATTCATTAGCCCTCAATATGTATATTTTCAATTTGGAATGATGAGAACATTGTATTTCTCCTGTGGTTCAGGCATATGAATCTGTGCAAAGTCGATCAAAGTCGCTTTTCGTCATTGGCTAAGTCACTGGCTAAGGTGCTGACAATTGCAAGTGCTGTTGCTTGGATGCGGAATTACGATGAAAAAACCTTCGGATTTGATGAGGAGGGGTTTTTAGCTTAAGATATAGCAAGATCAAGTCACTCTTTGAAGGTTTCATTGTGTGATTGGTGATCAGTGGAAGAGGCAGAACTCATCTTCTCTGGGGATTTTTGCCATCTGCTTTCTGATGAGAACGTCGTAAGCTGATCCAACTCTCCCATTTCAGCTGGAGAAAAGTTTCCATTTTGAGATTCTTGTGGATTCTCTGGATTTTACTTGGACTGTCTTGGATTTGACTTCAGCCAGAACCACCAAGGTTAGCTTAGTGGTCTGGACCTCAGTGTACAGCAGTGTAGATTCGTAGATGGCCATGAGATGCCACTTAGATAGGATCATTTTAGACAGCCTGGATGATTTTTTGGATGCTTTACCCATCGTTAGCCCTAAGACAAAACATTCAAACGAGTGATGAGCAGACAGTTCTAACGAGTGATCGGATGAAAATATGCAACATTTTGCAACCAGATCCACAATTGGTTTGTGGTTTCAGTGATTTGATATACAGGACGGAGTGAACATTTTCCATAGCAGGAATGATGAACCCCCCGCAGAGTTGAAACTGGAAACGACCATCTCAGGTTGATATAGTTTGTTCATGTTTCTTCGCCATGATTGTATGGTGTTACGTATACAGTATGCAACATATGGATATCATACTGCACACGCATATATACAATCATATACACATATTTAAGTATGACAACAGTATGACTATTATATAATATATATTACATTATATACAACGTACAATTCATAGATATTCCATCATTCATTCTGAGAAACATGATTCCATCATATTCCATCATTCTTTATGTGTCTGATATCCCCATGATTTTTTCGAGGCCGGCTGCCTCTGCTTTGCAGCCCTTCGCTTTGGTGCACAAACCTTCACAGCCGATGTGGCAGTGTGACGTGTCCGAACAATAAAGGGGATACCTGGCTTGTTCAAACATGAGGTACTCCCTTAAAAATCTTACAATGGTCGGTCATTTAATATCATTTGATGATTAATTTGATGTAAAAATGTCGATCAAGCATGGGACTTTGATGGAATTTGGCCCTATTTTAGATACATAGAATTGCAGAACGGCAATCACAACTGATCATTTTGATTCATTTGGGTCGATGTTCTTGCACTTCCAGAGATAATCCCAGACCATGGTCTAATCGACACTTGTGAGGTTGGGGCAGGTTCACTCCACAGCCTTCATGGTGTTCTTGACCACGGTCGCATTATTGCTCTCCAGCTCTATCGACGGGGCTTTGTTGGCGGCGAAGGATTTCAGGTGCCTCGTTTAGCCGCTAAGCCCGACTTCGATCTCACACGTCATTTATATACCAGTATCATGCAGAAGCCATACGGTCGAGTATGCTTTAACTGCAGCATCCACCTACTCATTTGTAGATCTATATAAGCTACAGCCAAAATTTACTGCAATGGAAAGTAGTATTCGAGACATCTTTATTTTTTGGAAATTGATCTGGGGCTTGGAAAACGATACACTATTCAAAAAAAACGATAAACTTTGCCATTCACAAGACCTGAAAAACAATAATACGCTCTCTTCAAAAATTGATGACTTGGAGCCGTGGCCCAGATGACTTGCAACAATTCACAGGCATCATTCCCTTGTTGTTTGGCAGCAAAAATAACCACCTGTCAGGTTCATCGTCTTCCAGCAAGGTTTGGTGGTAGCAGTTCAACTTTTCTTGTTGTGGATGACCTTGAAAATGCACATGGGTCTGTGCCTTGCCTACATTAGTGCCAGTGTTTCAGCGTGTGTTTGTTGTCAAACTTTGATCACTGCACCACTGTGTACCGCCATTGCATTTTTTTGACGATCTTTGCATTGTCCTTTGTTCATGCCTTGTGATCCAGTCTGCATGGACTTGAGATTGTGTGTTTCGTGCCGAGGTTCTATTCGGTATCTAGTCATATCTAGTCTATTCATGTCTATTCATTAAAAATATTATAATTATCATTCATTTCATGAATGAATAGTTGGTCATAGTTGGTCTTAGAGTTCTTATTTCCTGCAGCCTGAGGCCTGCGGTGTGGATGACCTTAGCAGTGAGAGTCATGGTTTTTATCCCAGGGGCCCTGACTTGGGTTTGTACTGGAAACGGTCCCCTGGGACGTGTGATGTTTCCCAAACGGTGAAGCGGTGAAGCCATGTGAAGCCCAATGTGGCTGAGTCCCCCATGGTGAAAGAATCGATTAATGGCCTGCACCGTTGATACAGCTGTCAAGTTTGAATGGTGTATTTGAATGTATTTGATATATGTCAATTTTATTCATGTGTTCAATATATTTGAGATATGCAAATTATTCTCATGAACCTTGCTTTCAATGCTCAAACTGGACATCACCTTAAGTGTATACGTGTGCTGCTTCTGGGGTCCAAAGCCCTCATGTCAATTTGAAAATGTGAGGCAGCGAAATTGCAATTTTCAGCATGAAATCAACATGCTTTTTCTTCAATGGACAGGTCCGGCAGGAATCAAAAGAAGCCTTGAGCTGGGTAACAAAAAACGTGCGATGATGACTTTCTTTTCAATGCGCACGTGTGAGGCCCCGTAGTGTTTTCTTGGGGCTTTGGAGGACTGTTCGCAGATGTTCACAGTCAACTCAGGTAAGCCTCAAACCGATCCCTGCATGGCCATCATGTACTGTACTCATCATGTATGTGGGTTTGAACAATTGGGTACCCAAAATTCACTGAAACCCATACATAATACATATTATATATTTGAATCTGCTTGGAAGTCGAAGCCGTCATACATTCATTCAAAGTACCTCACTACATGACTACAGCTGGGCATTGCCCATGGCAGACAAGGTGCCAAGTCCTGCTACAGTACCCAGCCTTCGGCAAATTGAGCAGTAGAGACGTGCAAGGAGCTCTGATGCGGTTTGGAATGGAGGGGACACACCATGAAACACCTCAGGCAGCATGAGCCAATTATTTGGTTTTATTTCATTCCCTACTACACTATGGATGGACTTGGATCCATAATTATGGAACACATCCACATGTGAAAACGATGTGCTTTGTCTCCCTTTGTTTTGAACCATGGCGCAGATCCTAGGGGGCCGAAGGTGATCAGCATGACTTGCAGGACGTAGCCCCTTGGAACGGGCCATCCGTGAGGGACGGCTTCAGACAAGCTCGGGCGCTGAACTTCGGATGGGAGAAGGTAGGACGGTAGACTACACTGGAGAGCAATGCCCTAAGAGCCTAAGAGCTGGATTTTACATTTGGTTTAGTATGTCTAGTGAGTGGGATTCTCACAGTATAATCCCGACTATATATCACGATATAGGAAAGCCGATCAACAGGGCTGTTTCTTGACCTGGGTCACATGTTGTTGAAGTCACAGCAGCCTCTCCAAGGTTGGTTCTTGAAGCGGTGTGGGCTCCAAGTTTTCGTTGTCTCAGAGCGTGGCAGCAGCAAGTTGGGAGTCATGGCAGCATGTGTTGAATACATCAGATGGATATACAGTATATACACTGTAAATAGAAAGTATATACTGTATATATTATACATATAATAAAATTGTTTACATTTATGCATGCATGCATGGATGTATGTATGTATGGATTGATGTATGTATGTAATGTAATGTAATGTAATGCAATGCAATGTAATGCAATGTAATGTAATGCAATGTAATGGTATGTAATGGTATGTAATGGTACGTAATGGTATGTAATGGTATGTAATGGTAATGTATGTATGTATGTAGGTAGGTAGGTAGGTATGTTATGTTATGTTATGTTATGTAATGCAATGCAATGTAATGTAATGTAATGTAATGTCACGTAATGTAACGTGGTGTAATGTAATGTAACGTGGTGTAATGTAATGTAATGTAATGTAATGCAATGCAATGCAATGTAATGTAATGTAATGTAATGTATGGTAATGTAATGTATGTATGTATCTATATATATATATAAGCTCTATATATATATATACTGTAGTTCCTTCCGAAGACCCTCTGAAGTGCCCCGATGTTGCTGACATTGAGGAAGAGCCTCCCTCCGGAACCACTCATCAATGATGATGGTCTAGTCATTGCAGTGGAGGAGTGGAAGTGTGGCCAGTGTGACCATTGCGCAGAATCATATGGCAGACATGGAATTTCTTTCACCTGTCCATCGTTGAATCCAGCAGGAGCAGGAGGAGCCGATTGAAGGGGAAGAGCAAGAGAATGAGGAGCAGGAGAAACAGGAAGCGGAAAAAGCGGAAGAAGCGGAAGAAGAAGAAGAGGAGGAAGAAGAGGAAGAAGACGAGGAAGAGGAGGCTTGAACCTGCTTTTGACTGTGATTCCAAGCCGGTTTAGGACTTGAAGGCCAATGTTCAAAGGCATTTCTATACTGCACCAGGTGGAGCTTCCAGATGCAGAGGTGCACTGCTATGCCATGCACTGCTCACCAGCCCCAAAAACAGATGGCTGCCCCAGGTGGAGACACAGGGGCTGGGGTTTATGGCATCTTTGAAAGAGGCCAAGCAGGTGTGGGCCACAGCGGTAAAACTCTGAGGTTGGACCTCGCTGGAGTCTGCTGGTTGAAGGACTTTCACTGAACACACCGTGACAAACGCGAAAATGGCAGCATCACATTTTCGCAGATGTGCATGTATTACCGGTTGGTGGTTTCATGATGTTTCATGATGTTTCATGATGTTTCATGATGTTTCATGTTTCTTCTAGTTTTCACCATGCAAACCTCATCAAACCTCTTATTCAATATTGTCAATTGTACTTTGGAGTTGAAGATGGTTGTAGCTCAATGCGCCTTTCGAGGGTCATCTAGGGTCTTCCTCACGCTTGAGGTTGGCTTCGTGGCATCTTTGAAAGAGACAGATGAGGCTCTAGAAATGCTGTTGACCCAGGATGAACACACCCTTGCTATAGAATGTGCGTGGGGTGTGCTTTTTTGGCCGAAGTTTAAAGTGTATCACATAGTATAGTTGATCAACAAGCAAGGGTGCATCAACTGATATCCATGGTGGGTTCTGAGATGTTCTGAGTTGAGTGAATCGATTTGCATCAAGATGGCTCTGCACGATTTGACCGTTTTGTGATTCAATAGTCATGACTCAGCATCTTGTCATATTGAGAGGCTGAGCCGGTGGAAGATACGCTGCAGGTTGGCTCTCATGATGTTGTCACAGTTGTCATCGTGTCGTACATCCAGGGTGTTAGGACAGCTTTTTTTTGGGTATGGCTCCCAAATCAAACACAACAGCACAATGAAACGCTTCTGCTTCACCAGCTTCACCATGATCACAGATAGTGACAGGATGGGCCAAGGTGGTGATACCGTGATACCCATGTCCTGTGAGGTTGAGCAAGTCCCTTTCAGTGACCAAGACGAGCTGGAAAGGAAACCAGACGCCCAATCCGCCCAACTGCGAAGTGATGAGGTTCAGATGACTCCTGTCCTTGGAATGTGGGTACCCATGTAGCAACAGATGGCGGAAAGGCAAGATGGGATCCTAAGCACATATCTTGGTGCTTCAAAACCACAGCATCCCCTGCAGGTGAAGTCACTAGCGAGATCGGTGGAAGAGAAAAGTGATGTGATTACAAAAGATGCGTTGAAGGTCAGCTGCTGGCACTTCTATCGCTTTGTCTCACCGAATTTGGATTGTTCAGATGTTTAATCAGTTTTACAGGTAATATATATATATTTATGTTCGAGGATATCTGGATATTTGGTCTTTATTTTTGGTTGGTGATATCATATCGATATCCCTTTCGATTGCATGGGATTAAATCTGTCAGCACCCGCTGGGTGATCGCTCTTTTGCGTTTCTTTGGCAGGTGATCGAAGGAGCACAGATAGCAGGTCCCAGTCAGCAGATGGACACTGGGGAGGCGAGGATGGCTATCATCACATGTGCAGCGGATGACCTTTTCAATCTTTCCAACAAACGAACACACGAGCCTTTGTT